TTTCTCCATGCTTTGTTCCCTGGTTATTTTGTCTAACCTGATTCAGGAATCGTGTTTAATTTCTCATGTTCCATCCACTATCGGTAGTAATAGTAACTTTTAGTGTAACAATAAGAACGTGACAGTATGTGGTAAAAGCACGCATCTGTGCAATAAACTTAAAAGGTTATATACTTCATTGAGATAGCTCTTCAACTGATTTATTGTACTATCAGTATCTTACAAAGATCCAGGTCAACAATTTTCAAAGCTGTAAAAAGTTAAAAGGATGTGTGTTTCGGTTTCATTGAAACAACCTCTCTCTGTTGGTCATTTGTAAAATGAAGCAATTCAGAATAATGACACAAAAGTTGATACTTTGAGAGTGTCCCCTAGCAGCAAGCCATAGACTTGGATTATAATCAAATTTCATCAAAATAATTCTTGTTAACCTTAATCAGTTTGAGCACATTGAAGTTGAAAACACCAATTTTGTAATGTTAAAATTCACTATTTTCAAGGCAGTCTTCTTTCTGGCTCTTGCGTTGACTGGTCCGGGGGAACATGATGGGTATAGGTATCATATATGCATTCTTAAGTTATGGTAAGTATTACATCATGAAAATTAGTTTTACATGAAAAAACCTCACGATTATGATGTACATATAATGATGATGAAATTGATAATTGCATGTTGATGACATAATTATGACATAACAGAAGAAGAAGAAGAAGAAGAAGAAGAAGAAGAAGAAGAAGAAGATGATGATGATGATGATGATGATGATGATGATGATGATGATGATGATGATGATGATGATGACGACGACGATGAGTCATATGTGGGAATGTTGGTATGTGTGTCATATCGATGTATCATGTAAAATTTTGAAAAATAAAAAAAAAAGACAAAAAAGTATACTTTGGCACATGCTGACACATGACTAAAACTGCTACAGCTTTCGTCAAAAAAAAAACAAACAACAGGAAAGTCGAGCAATATGCAATATGTCCTGATAGCTATCTATAGATAATGCTATGTACTCAGCATGTATGGATGAGAAAGTAAGTGAGGTGACAGTGTGGTATATGGATGATTATAATGTTACTTAAACAGGTTATGTCTAATATGTAAACAGTAGTGTATATATGTATGATGCTGGTTTTTTACGATACTCTTGTGTGAAGGTGAAATTTTTAAAACTAAACAATTGATATTGGTCTCTATAAACCTGAGCCATAAAGATGTTGAAATGAAATTAGTAGAGAATCCACATGAAAAGACAGCGATTTGACAATAGTCAGTGGTACATTTACGTAAATCTCTGGATAATTGTTCATGGTTAGAACGGCAGAAAATAATTAGTAGTTAATTTTTCATTATAGCATGTGATATTATTTCACATGATGACAATGACATGAATCTGTTGACCTGGAATTTGATGTCACCTGAGTGCCCTCTTGCAATCACCTTTTGTCATGCATCGTAAACAATTTACATTTTCGAAGGGCTACCAAGTTTGTTCAAATGAATGTCCTTGACCTATTTTCAAAGTCACAGGGGTCAAATGTGTTAAAATATTCTTCTCAATAACTAAATGATCTAGGGTAATGATATTGGGCCAGTAGCATGCTGGGATGAAGAGCTATCATGTTTGTTCAAATGAATGACCTTAACCTTCATTCAAGATCACAGGGATCAAATACATGTATACTGAAATCTTCAAACAACATTTTTGCAATAATCAAGAAGTTCAGGGTCTTGATAATGACTCTGTAGCATGCTTGAATGAAGGGATATCATGTTTGTTCAAACGAATGACCTTCATTCAAGGTCATAGGTGTCATTTATCATTTATAATCATTTAAACGAATTCTCCTCATAACCACCTGGACATTAATGCCCAAGAGCTTCTTGAATTGGTATGTCTGCAATGGTTTAAAAGTTGAGGCCTGAACCAAAAAAAATACTCAAATATGATAAGCATACACTTTTGTTTTCCTTTTACCTTGAAGTGAAGGTCATGGTGACATAATTTCAGTTCACACTACCCCATGTGTAAGGGTTATAGATATAATTTGGATTTATAGATTTAAAACTTCGTAGCTCTTCTTCCCAGCATGCTGAAGGCACAATATCAGTGTCCTGAACCTATTGGTTATAAGAAAAAGTTTTCTAAATATTTCAACTCATTGGACTCTTGTGATCTTGAAAGTCAGTCAAGGTAAATCCTATTAACAAACATTGAGATGCTTCATCCCAGCAAGCTACTCATCCAAACTTCGGACCATGAGCTTTTTGGTTATTGAGAAGTCATTGGAATGGACAGATTAAGCACAGCAGATGGCTCACAACAAGTCAAAATATGATGGTCATCCTAATAGGTGTTAAAGCAGATGAGAAAAATTCCAAATCTTTACTTATTGTGAAAATCCATGTTCTCAGAAAGATGGAAAATCTTACAATTGTATTCCAGTATATTATTACACATTATCTTGATATAATATCTGCTGCTTTGTATAAACATGCTCTCAGCAAATAAAGACAAGAACAGATTTGAATTTAGATGTTTTAATATTACATCTTGTAGATAAATGGCAACAAAGATGTACATGGTTGTAAACAAGTGAATGAGTTTATAGAAATTTATTAAATGGAGATGGCTAATAATTAAAAAGTGTGTTTAAAAAATATAAAAGGTAACCTAGAACATGTATATAAATTGTATCACATTATTTTGTATGGACTGAACAATGAAATTTAATTTCATGGAGAATTTTCATCAAATTTATCAGTATCTTTATATCATATGTAACAATGTAAAATGTAACCAAGTTCATAAAATTTGTGTAATATTATCATATATGGAGTAAAAAGCCAGAAGATTTAACCACAGACAAGTAATGCTTGATGAAGTCTATAAACACTATGTACATGTATAATATCAACAGATGTATGTAAAAATATTTGCCAAACAAACAATTTCTGAACAGTTATATATACTAAACAGTAAATATCATCAAAGATTCATGAATAATGTAAATATTCTTTATAAAAAGTTGTTGTTACAAACATTGGAAAAATAAAAGGTTTTACACCTTTTTGGCAAAATATTTCTAAAAAAAAAAGCAGATGATATCCTCAGTATTGATTAAAATTTGGATGGAAATTTTTTCATTACAATATTATTATATCAAATACTTTTCGAAGATTCACAAGATATTAAGAATTTCTAAGATGTCCATTTTTTTTTTTTTTCTGTTGATTGAAATAAAAGCCTGAACAACTCTCTAAACAATTATCAGAATTTTATGAAACCAGTAGATGGAAGAAAAAAGTAAAATATAATTCTAAAAGTTGGAATGATTTGGAAAAGATTGGCTTTATACAGGATTTCGAATTTTTTACGTACCAACAGATTAACATACTTACATAAATATCTTTAAAAGACTTATTTAAAAATGAATTTAAAACTGAAAGCTGAAAAATAATGCTTATAGACATTGATATAAGTTAAAAGAAAATATGTTAAATAAGCAATTTAAAGAGTTCAGATAAATGCTATATTATCATTTTTTGAAACCTTTCATGTAAACAGGAGTATTTTTATTAACACAGTTGAATGTATGACATTCAAGATGACTTGATAAGATTTTTCACATACCTACATTTTTTTCAAATATTCTAAATCATACCTTTGACAAAACTGATACTCAAAATCTAAAGCAAAAAGCTGTATTACAAGACTGAAGGCCTTTAAAGGATGATGATAGCTAGATAGATACCTACAAATATTTTTTTTTCGAAATGATACAATATATTATGTTAACTCAATTTTCTTTAAATTCTTGGAAGATAAGTTATCTAAGGCATGATGGAAATAGCTTTTGTTAAATTGATGTTGATGAAAATGAAAAGATGGTAAAATTATAATTTTTTTCGAAAAAATAAACAACTTCAAATTGCAAACAATACAAGCCCATCTGAATGCATACGATGATCTCAGCACCCCGAGTCACTTAGAGTAGCCTAGATCGTGGCCTTGATGACCAAAAACACATACTCGTTTCTGGTATTCTGATACAAGGCCTGTATACAACAAACGGTTAACAAGTACATTGTATGAGCAATTTCTTAAGTATATCTTCTCCAAGATCTTATTACAGATGGATAAAAAATTAGAAAATTTATGTACATTCAGTAATTCTGAAATGAAAAATACCAAAATTGTTTTCTTATGTTAAAGATAAAAAAAACTACAGATTTATGGAACTTTCGCTCTTCTGTGAAATGCTAAAATATGTATATATATATATAAATGCTGAACCTATTTAAAATAAAATTAACTGTAGGTAGAAGAAAGGGAAAATTAGTTGTTCTTTTTTTATTTGCCTCATGAAACTTTATTATCTTAAATTTACATTAACAAACTAACATCTGTCTGAAAGAATTTAGTAACGATTGCTAGTAGCTAGCTTATATTCATCTTTGTACTTCAAATATGGAAATTTAATTTTGGAGGATTAAGAAATTCTGTTAACTTTAAATATTTTCTTCTTTGAATTGTGTTATGTTCATTTCAAAATTTAAATTACATACAAGGACATCTAATCAATTTTTCTGTTTTACTTTTGGCTGTATTTTGTTTGTTTAAAATTTTAAAAGTTAAAGGACATCTTAGAAATTTTATTATGTTTGAAATAATGTGTTTAATAAAAACATTCTAGATGGATTAAAACGATGCTGAACATAAGAGGTATTATCATCTCATACATTTTCAAAGGTAAACATGGAAAGAGATTGGAAACTTGTAAACTACTAAAGCATCTCCTTAACAAATTGATACTGAGTTAACAAAAAAAAAAGAATAAAAATTATTTGATAAAATTCAGCATTGTGGGTCTGTTTCACTATTTACAGCCATTGTCTGTATCTTTTTACTTTCCAAAGCAACAGAGAAATTTTCCATTCTTTTGTTTCTTCTTGTTGCCTTCCAGTGGCTTCTCTGATGTGACCTTACCCACATCTTCACAAGCAATCCCTGGTGTAACCTCACCTACATCTTTACAAAGGTCAATGGAAATCTCAGGGATGATATCATTCAGATCAATGATTTCAAATGTGTCCTCTGGCCTTGTTTTCTTGATCTGTAAAAAGATATTTGGTTCACAAGGACCTGTTTTGACATAAATTTTACGAACGATACAAATTGAAAGAAATATTCCATCCTCCAGAAAATTTAGAGAAAACATGCTTTAAACAATACACAACAGTCTATTTATAGTCAATAAATGGTAGCTGTACCTTTTAACAGCATTTCTGTATTTTTAGAATGTAAATGAACAGAAGTACTATGTTCAGCAGTCTAAGTGCAATGTAATGAAGACTTACTGGGCAGAGGGTGTCCCACAGAGATTTTGTAGACTTGTATCTAAATACACCTGGAAGGTAGATTTCTGAAAAATAAAAGCAAAAAATGTAATCAGTGAAACTATTCAGCCAATCTGGCATTATATGTAAAACTTTCATGAAGAAATTTTGGTCTCCCCTTGCTTGCTAATCACAGTTCCTGTTCATAATCAAGTATTTACTGGTAAAGAAATAATCAGCTTGACTTTTGCATTAAAATTAATTTTCTTTAAACTCTAATACAGCTTGTACAAAAGATACATATGTGAACTGCACCTTTCATACAAATTTAAATAATTAAATAAGACATGGTGCAGCCAAACTATGAGTTCAACTGCATCATTCAGCTGTTTTGTCCTTCTAGGGCTTGCTAGGCCTAAATTTATAACGAAGGAGGCAAGAAAATCCAAGTGATCAAAAAAAAAAATTAAAAAATACAAAACGAAAAAAACTCACTGATTAGGTTCGCTAGCCAAATAATAATTCAATAAATATGATATATTTGATAATTTTAGAAATTTAATTCAAATGAACTAGAGGTGAAGGTCAGTATGACCTTAGCATGAAGGTCAAAGTGACATAATTTCAGTGTTCCTATATCGTACAGTGCACCTCATCTGTAAGTAATCCAAGTAAGTTTCAATCACATCTTTAAGTTCAAAGTCGAAAGTTCAAAAGATAATGCTCTGAAATGATTTTATCCCTGATTTTAAGGTAAGTCAGAATGATCTAATTACAGAGAAGAAATTTACACCACCTGTTGGTGATGAAATGTGTTTCGAGTTTCATCAAAATATCTTTTACAGATCAGAAGTTATGATCTGGACAAGATTTTGTTGATATTGTGAACTTCCTGGTTGCAATAATTTGATTAAGGTATTTAATTTTTGAAATGTCAATATGAAACAGATATAAAGCACAATGCACTATGGCTTACAACTTTTAGTATGAAATAAAAGAAATTACCATTTCTGTTGTTGGCAAGAAGAAGCCTCCAGACATTGACACGCTCTGCGTGTTTCTTGCGTAGTGCTTGGTCCTCCATTTCAGGATCACACTGAAGCCAGGTTTTGATTAAGGACATATTTCGTACATGCATGCTTCTTATGTCACTTTCTGCTCAATGTAAAGAAGGAAACTCCAACATAATCATTTTCAATTTTTAGAGTGTATATCTTATATAATTTAAGTTGAATGATAAATGGTTTCCCAATTCTCTGTGAAAATGGAATGCAAAGTTGGTCATACCTTTCAGTTAATTTGAGGTACAATTGCACCAGACATTCCAAACGTAATACAAATGGCTGTAAACGTTTTAAAAATAGCAAAGCCCTTTTCTTAAATGAGTTCCAATATCTTAACTTTATATCAGTGATTATTCCTTCACCATCAGAAAGTGCAGTTTCAATATTATTTTTATATGTTCGACATGATCATTCAGAAATCATGGGGCACATCTCACATGGGACCAAACGATACTTTTATCTTATTGAAAAAGACATGCTGTCACACATGTCGTTCCAAAAGTAAAGTATTATCTTACCTGACATATTTGCGCGCTTGAACAACTGCGTAGCTCTATGTTGCTATACGCAAACAATGATGACGTAACTATAGACTACACAGTTTTCAGTCATGGTCGACAAGGCGCTTTTTGTCTGCACACTAGCCACGACAGCTGTGGCTAGCTGAAAACCGGACATTACGTTATGATCTGGACAAGATCTTGTTGATATTGTGAACTTCCTGGTTGCAATAATTTGATTAAGGTATTTAATTTTTGAAATGTCAATATGAAACAGATATAAAGCACAATGCACTATGGCTTACAACTTTTAGTATGAAATAAAAGAAATTACCATTTCTGTTGTTGGCAAGAACATATCATCTAAATAAGTATAAAATCAACCATCGCATTGTCATAATATTCACATATTTTTTGACTTCATGTATGATCTACGTATTAAAATCGTGGGAAAATCGAGTCAAATTTTTTTTTTTAAAAATCGAAGATTGAACAAAAGTAAAATTGATGAATAACACCTTTTTGGTTGGCACGTTTATTCTCTACTTTTCAGTTGTCAAACATTCATTAGAATTAATTCAGTCTCCGGTCCGGCCGTTCGCAATTCACAACTTTGTTAAATGAGAATTATATAGACAAAGCAATAACGATAATGCATCATCTCCGCGAAACTATTTCCATGGTTGTTACGGCAGTGTGGGTTATTGTCCAGCAGTCAAACCATTTCCATGGGTGTTACGGCAGTGTGGGTTATTGTCCAGCAGTCGAAGTATTTCCATGGTTGATACGGCAGTGTGGGTTATCATCCAGCAGTCAAACTATTTCCATGGCTGTTAAGGCTGTGTGGGTTATTGTCCAGCAGTCAAAGTATTCCATGGTTGTTACGGCAGTGTGGGTTATTGTCCAGCAGTCAAACTATTTCTGTTATCTACGTCCATGGTATCAAAGTAATTTCCATTTTGCAATTTCATAGTTGAATTAACATTTAACGCTATGATATCACGCTTTTTTATAAGTAATTCTTGAATTATTTGAATTACCTGGGCGCATTACCTAGACATTAAAGAATAAGATCAGGGACGAAATATTATTATCCGTTAAAGTTATGAATACACGTGTACGTCTAGTTGTCTTAATAATGTAACCCAATTATCAGTTTTTGAAAGCACTTAAATAACATTTCAATTTATGAGATCTGAATGTGGTTTCCACCAAGCACCTAGTGTTGGGAAAACATGATATTTTATATGCAAAATTACTATCAAATTTGTTAGGGGTATTAGGAACGTCCTTCTTTAATTATACATATCTTAGCCACGCGTTAAGGAACAGTCGAATGAAATTGCAAAAATGCAATCAGAATGTATCTTATTACCTAATTATAAAAAATAAAAATAAAACGTTCGTACCAGACTTTGTTTCATTGATGTTAAAAATGAACTCCGATTTATTCTGAAATGTCGGTCAACGTCACAGTTTAGGTCTAGTGAGATTTCTTTCTTTCTTTTTCTCTTTCTTTCTTACCTCAATATTTACTTATTTATTTGTTAATGTTTTGAAATGCACGTGACTCTATCTAAAACAACCAAGTATGTCTAAAAAAAGTGTTAACCTAAATGCAAGATATGCAAAAAGAACGCGATGAGCATTTTGAGAAAGGGTGATATGTATAATTTGTATCTTGTTGTTATCTCCGGATGCACTAAATGTTTTAGTATTCTTCTCCGTGCAAATACACGGAATAAATTGTAAAACGTTTAAAATCGATGTGTCGATCGACTCAATTAAGGTTGATAAAGAAATTGAATTTAAGCAACTTTGTGCGATATGTATATATATATATAATTTTGACATATTACAGTGTAATTCTTATTTTATAGTTTACGTTAATTGCAAATATATGTTGTTTAACACGTGAACTAAAATCTTTTTATTTATTTTTTTTTTATTTTATTTTTTTTTTAGTAGTATGTTTTTGATAGTGCTGATGATTTATTTACTACACTATATTGTATGACGTCATCTTGTACTTCGTCCATTCATTATAATTTTACATACACAGTTTCAATACCAAGAGTATTACAGTACAAATTGACCATTTATGCAGATCGCATTAAAAAAGACATAAAGTTAAGTTCACAAATGAAGCATGTAAACCTATAACTTTTAGCTCCAGAAGTTGATAATTTGATAAAAGATATTTAAAAATGTTCGGACATTAGTCTACATGTCTTTTGGGGAGTTTACATTTAAATTTATTTGTATCACGATTCATGAAATCTATCATGAACTGAAACGGTAGAAAACAAAGGGAGACAATCCGTGTAAGGAAACTTTGTATCATTATTAATGAAATCTGTCAAAACCGCAGGGAAATCGAGTTACCTCCCTTTATGTGTTTTGATTGAAGATGGCGGCAAACAAGGTGCGTGTTCAGCAATAACAGATTGGATTTTTGTCTCTGCACAATCATTTTGTTTATCACATTCTGATAGAAAGACAGATCGCTAGGCTGTGAGCATAAAGCACCATACGGGTGCTGAGTTGATCACTTAGATTCTCGTTTATCCTGTGTTTTAGTATAACACCGCCTATAATTTCGTAAACAACCGGCGAACGGTTGGAACTTGGGTCACTAATCAAGCATCGTGATTTGATGGTGTTTCGAGTTTACATTTGTAGAACACATCACGATAACTCATGTATTAAGTTTTCCACACGATGTTTTAATTTGTTTTGTTAAAATTGACTCTAGAATTTGAACTGTATCAGACTCGTCATAAATAAACATGAACTGCACAGGTAGAAAACAAAGGGAGACAATCTGTACCAGCAAAACAAATTAGATACGCCTACTAATTTGATGATTTGATGCCTTTATAAAATGTAACCACAATTTTTATTGTTATTTATAAGTGGATTAAACATCAGACATAAATATTCTCTGCAGTAATCATATTATTATGTATACAACATGAGAAACTAATTTTATTTTTCACACATCTCTGATATGACCGTCACAAATTGCTGTATAATTGTCCGTGCTGCAGTTGGTAGAATGTTGAAATTATACCTACTGGCCCCATGGTCTGATCATAAGAGGCTACTGAATTTGGAATCTAATCTATCTTAAAGTCTTTCTTGACCCTTCCTCACTTTTGGCCTAAATTAGTTGAGCGATTTGCCCCTGTGGGAAAGGGCTGTAGTGAATTCAGTTCCCACGTTAAGATTTATCACAATTCAAGGAGCTTACATGAATATATTGCACCTTCCAACAAACACATACACATACATAGGGAGACAATCTTTATATGGGGAAACTGTTTCTTCCTCATTTATCAGTACATTTATTGTTGACTCATAGGAGTCATTAACTCACTCACACTGGAAAAAAGAAAAATCATGAATGACAGCAAATTAGATTTACTTTACACAGACATATAACATTGATATTAATTATATTTTGGATTTCTCTAAATAAGATGATATAATCTTATTTGCTTATTCTTAAGGCTGAGCCTTATTAAACCCATTAAAATACAGTACAATATACATAATTATCAGCTTGCTGAGTCTGAGTCAGTTACAACACCTAAATTGTAAGTGTGATGTATATATATTGAAGTATTTCTCATTTACTGACCTTTACCTTTAAATTTCTCAGGAAGCCATCGCCATAGTGGTAGATGTGGGGCCGTCTATGAACCAGGCCCCAGCAGGGGAGACAACATCTCTGCAGACTGCCCTAGAAGCCATGACTATGATCATCCAGAGGAAGGTAAAGTATAGTGTAGACTTTGTGGAGTTTAGACTCAAACCATGGAGTGTAGACTGTGAAGTATATAGATTCTGTGAGGTGGTGGAGTACTGTATAGCCTCGTACATTGGGATGTAGACTTCAAGGATTTTATAGACCAACTGGTCACATGATAGACTGTAGGCTGGGTGAAAAATATTCTCAAGTAGTGGAACATAAACTTGGTGGAGTGTAGGCTTGGTGGAGTACAGACTCACACATGCAAAGTGGAGTGTAGACTTGATGGAGTTATAGACTGAGTGGAGTATAGCCTTCGAATGTAGGCTTGGTGGAGTATAGACTCACACATCCACAGTGGAGTGTAGATTTTATATTTTTATTTCTGAAAGTCCTTTGTTGATGGGTGTCATTGTAGCCTACACTGTAGGATCATGTGTCTCCAACATTGTGTTTATACAAGAAAACACTAGTTTGAAGGACTTAAAGTCAATGAAAATAAAAAAACTCAAGAAAATTAGTGATTTTAATAATTTACTCTATCTTTTATTTTACCAAGCTGAAGTCAGCAGAATCAATCACAATAGACCAGAAGCAGTTTTATAATTTATTAGGTAGCTTGTCTAACTACCCAGCTACCTAATGTATGCCTGTCATAATAACCCTGTTGCCTCCTGCCTGCTGTGATTAATTCCCTTGATTTCAGCTTACTGTAATTAATCCTTTGAGTATCCAGGCAAAAGGATTATTAATCCACAACACTAACATAGCTCTACTACCCAATACTTTTAATTTACTAGGTATTTGCGGAATCAAAGGATGAGATAGCTGTCATTTTGTTTGGGACTGCGGACACCGACAATCCTCTGGCAAACGGAGAGAGTTATGAGAACATCACCATCCTCCAACCTCTTAGCATCGCAGACTTTGACCTGTTGAACCTCATACAAAATGAAATACAGCCAAGCAACATCTCAGCTGATTGTATCTTTTTCAAGGGAGATAACTTCTAATTATCGGCTTCTTGATTTTATGCTTCCACTATATTTTCGTAATAGCATGTGTTCTGCACAAACACTGCCACATAGATTATCTTGGTCACTTGTTGCACTTATTCGATATTGATCTGATCAGAAAATCAAAATATTTGACAGTCAGTACTTGGATTCTGAAAGTTAAGATCTGTGAATGATATCCTCCACTTTTTACTTAAGATGGTGTATTTAAAGTAAACACTCCATGCATGCATCCTTAGCGCAGAATTTATGGGTAAGTTATGAACCCTTCAACAAACTGCAATCATTTATATACACACAATAGCATCACACCAGCTTGTTCTACACCTTATAAGCTTTGGGTGGTCATCAGTCAAGTTCAAAGAATCGAAGGTTACTGGTGACTATATTATAGATAAAAGTACAATAATAAGAAGGTAGACTTTCTGTTTTTTTTTCACGTTTTCCATTTCCTTAATTCTTTTTAGATTTGGATGCGCTTGTTGTTGGTATAGATCATCTTGTCAATGCCACCCAGTAAGTACACACACAGAAACCTGTATAATCTGACTATACACAGACTAGACAATGCCACCTGGTAAATATACACACAGAAACCTGTATAATCTGACTACATACAGACTAGACAATGCCACCTGGTAAATATACACAGAAACCTGTATAATCTGACTATACACAGACTAGACAATGCCACTTGGTAAATATACACAGAAACCTGTATAATCTGATTATACACAGACTAGACAATGCCACCCAGTAAGTACACACACAGAAACCTGTATAATCTGACTATATACAGACTAGACAATGCCACTTTGTAAATACACACAGAAACCTGTATAATCTGACTATATACAGACTAGACAATGCCACCTGGTTAATATACACAGAAACCTGTATAATCTGACTATACACAGACTAGACAATGCCACTTTGTAAATATACACAGAAACCTGTATAATCTGACTATACACAGACTAGACAATGCCACTTGGTAAATATACACAGAAACCTGTATAATCTGATTATATACAGACTAGACAATGCCACCTGGTAAATATACACAGAAACCTGTATAATCTGACTATATACAGACTAGACAATGCCACCTGGTAAATATACACAGAAACCTGTATAATCTGACTATACACAGACTAGACAATGCCACTTTGTAAATATACACAGAAACCTGTATAATCTGACTATACACAGACTAGACAATGCCACTTTGTAAATATACACAGAAACCTGTATAATCTGACTATATACAGACTAGACAATGCCACCTGGTAAATATACACAGAAACCTGTATAATCTGACTATATACAGACTAGACAATGCCACTTTGTAAATATACACAGAAACCTGTATAATCTGACTATATACAGACTAGACAATGCCACCTGGTAAATATACACAGAAACCTGTATAATCTGACTATATACAGACTAGACAATGCCACTTTGTAAATATACACAGAAACCTGTATAATCTGACTATACACAGACTAGACAATGCCACTTGGTAAATATACACAGAAACCTGTATAATCTGACTATATACAGACTAGACAATGCCACCTGGTAAATATACACAGAAACCTGTATAATCTGACTATATACAGACTAGACAAGGCCACTTTGTAAATATACACAGAAACCTGTATAATCTGACTACACACAGACTAAACAATGCCACTTTGTAAATATACACAGAAACCTGTATAATCTGACTATACACAGACTAGACAATGCCACTTTGTAAATATACACAGAAACCTGTATAATCTGACTATACACAGACTAGACAATGCCACTTGGTAAATACACACAGAAACCTATATAATCTGACTATACACAGACTAGACAATGCCACTTGGTAAATATACACAGAAACCTGTATAATCTCATTATATACAGACTAGACAATGCCACCTGGTAAATATACACACAGAAACCTGTATAATCTGACTATACACAGACTAGGCAATGCCACTTGGTCAATATACACACAGAAACCTGTATAATCTGACTACATACAGACTAAACAATGCCACTTGGTAAATATACACAGAAACCTGTATAATCTGACTACATACAGACTAGACAATGCCACCTGGTAAATATACACACAGAAACCTGTATAATCTCATTATATACAGACTAGACAATGCCACTTGGTCAATATACACACAGAAACCTGTATAATTTGACTATATACAGACTAGACAATGCCACTTTGTAAATACACACAGAAACCTGTATAATCTGACTATATATAGACTAGACAATGCCACCTGGTAAGTACACACAGAAACCTGTATAATCTGACTATATATAGACTAGACAATGCCACCCAGTAAGTACACACAGAAACCTGTATAATCTGACTATATATAGACTAGACAATGCCACCCAGTAAGTACACACAGAAACCTGTATAATCTGACTATATATAGACTAGACAATGCCACCCAGTAAGTACACACAGAAACCTGTATAATCTGACTACATACAGACTAGACAATGCCACTTTGTAAATACACACAGAAACCTGTATAATCTGACTACATATAGACTAGACAAGGCCACCCAGTAAGTACACACACAGAAACCTGTATAATCTGACTATATATAGACTAGACAAGGCCACTTGCTAAATATACAGAGAAACCTGTGTAATCTGACTATATATAGACTAGACAAGGCCACCCAGTAAGTACACACACAGAAACCTGTATAATCTGACTATATACAGACTAGACAATGCCACTTTGTAAATACACACAGAAACCTGTATAATCTGACTATATATAGACTAGACAAGGCCACCCAGTAAGTACACACACAGAAACCTGTATAATCTGACTATATATAGACTAGACAAGGCCACTTGGTAAATATACAGAGAAACCTGTGTAATCTGACTATATATAGACTAGACAAGGCCACCCAGTAAGTACACACACAGAAACCTGTATAATCTGACTATATATAGACTAGACAAGGCCACCCAGTAAGTACACACACAGAAACCTGTATAATCTGACTATATATAGACTAGACAAGGCCACCTGGTAAATACACACAGAAACCTGTATAATCTCATTATATACAGGTTAGACAATGTCATTTAAGTACATTTACACACAGGTTTGGAAATTGGAGCACTTTTCATATTTTTGTGTGTGCAATTACAACAGGATGTCGCATTATACAATTTGTCAGATAAGACTTTATGACTGAACAAAAACTTTAACTGTATGTCATTTTAAAACTTATTCATTTGTTCAATGTCACCTCAGAGGAAAGAAAGGATTTGGGTTCAAGAGGCTGATTTTGATGTCTGACCTCGGTGGGGAATTTGGAGATGATGAAGTTGACACCATTATCCAAGGAATCAAAGCAACAGGCACTGAGCTTAATGTCATGTAAGTTTGGTTACAGCCAAGAAGCAATATAATGTAAGTTTGGGAACATCCACTAAGCTTAATGTCATGTAAGTTTGGGTATAGCCACCAAGCTTAATGTCATGTAAGTTTGGGTACAGCCACCAAGCTTGATGTCATGTAAGTTTGGGTACAGCCAAGAAGCAATATAATGTAAGTTTTGGTACAGCCACCGAGCTTAATGTCATGTCAGTATGGGTACAGCCACCGAGCTTAATGCCATGTAAGTTTGGGTACAGCCACCGAGCTTAATGCCATGTAAGTTTGGGTACAGCCACCGAGCTTAATGTCATGTAAGTTTGGGTACAGCCACAAAGCTTAATGTCATGTAAGTTTGGGTACAGCCACCGAGCTTAATGTCTTGTCAGTTTGGGTACAGCCACAAAGCTTAATGTCATGTAAGTTTGGGTACAGCCACAGAGCTTAATGTCTTGTCAGTTTGGGTACAGCCACCAAACTTAATGTCATGTAAGTTTGGGTACAGCCAAGAAGCAATATAATGTAAGTTTTGGTACAGCCACCGAGCTTAATGCCATGTAAGTTTGGGTACAGCCACAGAGCTTAATGTCATGTAAGTTTGGGTACAGCCACAGAGCTTAATGTCTTGTCAGTTTGGGTACAGCCACCAAACTTAATGTCATGTAAGTTTGGATACAGCCACAGAGCTTAATGTCATGTAAGTTTGGGTACAGCCAAGAAGCAATATAATGTAAGTTTTGGTACAGCCACCGAGCTTAATGCCATGTAAGTTTGGGTACAGCCACAGAGCTTTATGTCATGTAAGTTTGGGTATAGCCACAGAGCTTAATGTCATGTAAGTTTGGGTATAGCCACAGACCTTAATGTCATGTCAGTTTGGGTACAGCCACCAAGCTTAACGTCATGTAAGTTTGGGTACAGCCACAGAGCTTAATGCCATGTGAGTTTGGGTACAGCCACAGAGCTTAATGTCATGTAAGTTTGGGTACAGCCACAGAGCTTAATGTCATTTAAGTTTGGGTATAGCCACAGAGCTTAATGTCATGTAAGTTTGGGTACAGCCACAGAGCTTAATGTCATTTAAGTTTGGGTACATCCACCAAGCTTGATGTCATGTAAGTTTGGGTACAGCCAAGAAGCAATATAATGTAAGTTTTGGTACAGCCACCGAGCTTAATGCCATGTAAGTTTGGGTACAGCCACAGAGCTTAATGTCATGCCAGTTTGGGTACAGCCACAGAGCTTAATGTCATGTCAGTTTGGGTACAGCCACCAAACTTAACGTCATGTAAGTTTGGGTACAGCCACAGAGCTTAATGCCATGTGAGTTTGGGTACAGCCACAGAGCTTAATGTCATGTAAGTTTGGGTACAGCCACAGAGCTTAATGTCATTTAAGTTTGGGTATAGCCACAGAGCTTAATGTCATGTAAGTTTGGGTACAGCCACAGAGCTTAATGTCATTTAAGTTTGGGTACATCCACAGAGCTTAATGTCATGTAAGTTTGGGTACAGCCAAGAAGCAATATAATGTAAGTTTTGGTACAGCCACCGAGCTTAATGCCATGTAAGTTTGGGTACAGCCACAGAGCTTAATGTCATGCCAGTTTGGGTACAGCCACAGAGCTTAATGTCATGTCAGTTTGGGTACAGCCACCAAACTTAACGTCATGTAAGTTTGGGTACAGCCACAGAGCTTAATGTCATATAAGTTTGGGTATAGCCACAGAGCTTAATGCCATGTAAGTTTGGGTACAGCCACAGACCTTAATGTCATGTCAGTTTGGGTACAGCCACCAAGCTTAACGTCATGTAAGTTTGGGTACAGCCACAGAGCTTAATGTCATCACGGTTAATTTGAAGGTTGGCCTATGTACACATTGTGATATTGAAAAAGAGGATAATTTGACAACGGCTTACATATGCATTCGGTAATTGACATGGAAAATCATTTGATCTTGGCCTATGTGCACATTCGGATATTGATATAGAAGGTAATTAAACTTCAACCTACGCACCCAATCAAATATTGACATGGAGGGTAATTTTGCGATGGCATACATGTATGTTTGGATGGTGTACGATATTGACACAGAGTGTAGGATATTGACAACATAGAGGGTAGGATATTGACACAGAGTGTAGGATATTGACACAGAGTGTAGGATATTAACACAGAGTGACAACACAGAGTGTAGGATATTGACACAGAGGATAGGATATTGACACAGAGTGTAGGATATTGACAAAACAGAGTGTAGGATATTGACACAGAGGGTAGGATATTGACACAGAGTGTAGGATATTGACACAGAGGGTAGGATATTGACACAGAGTGTAGGATATTGACACAGAGTGTAGGATATTGACACAGAGTGTAGGATATTGACACAGAGTGTAGGATATTGACACAGAGGGTAGGATATTGACACAGAGTGTAGTGTAGGATATTGACAACACAGAGTGTAGGATATTGACACAGAGGGTTGATATTGACACAGAGTGTAGGATATTGACACAGGATAGGATATTGACACAGAGTGTAGGATATTGACAACACAGAGTGTAGGATATTGACACAGAGGGTAGGATATTGACACAGAGTGTAGGATATTGACACAGAGGGTAGGATATTGACAACACAGAGGGTAGGATATTGACACAGAGGGTAGGATATTGACACAGAGGGTAGGATATTGACACAGAGGGTAGGATATAGACACAGAGTGTAGGATATTGACACAGAGTGTAGGATATTGACACAGAGTGTAGGATATTGACACAGAGTGTAGGATATTGACACAGAGGGTAGGATATTGACACAGAGTGTAGGATATTGACACAGAGGGTAGGATATTGACAACACAGGGTAGGATATTGACACAGAGGGTAGGATATTGACACAGAGGGTAGGATATTGACACAGAGTGTAGGATATAGACACAGAGGGTAGGATATAGACACAGAGTGTAGGATATTGACACAGAGTGTAGGATATTGACACAGAGGGTAGGATATTGACACAGAGTGTAGGATATTGACAACACAGAGTGTAGGATATTGACACAGAGTGTAGGATATTGACACAGAGGGTAGGATATTGACACAGAGTGTAGGATATTGACACAGAGGGTAGGATATTGACAACACAGGGTAGGATATTGACACAGAGGGTAGGATATTGACACAGAGGGTAGGATATTGACACAGAGTGTAGGATATTGACACAGAGGGTAGGATATAGACACAGAGTGTAGGATATTGACACAGAGTGTAGGATATTGACACAGAGGATAGGATATTGACACAGAGGGTAGGATATTGACACAGAGTGTAGGATATTGACACAGACTGTAGGATATTAATACAGAGTGTAGGATATTAACACAGTGTAATTTGCCTACATGTATGTTTAGGTTCATTATACACAGAGGGTAATTTGACATTGGCCTCTGTTTGGGTTTAAAACAAGAAAATGTTTTTTTTTCTTTGTCATTTTAAAAAAATTTCTTTCTTCATATACATATATTCCCTAATCCTGCATATTTGAAAGGTAGGTCAAAGGAGAAATTTGAAGACAGTCTATTGTGATCAAATTGCAGTAAATTATTTCATTGACCAATCAAACATTGCATTACATGTCGATTAGATGGGAATAAGTTAGTGAAAAACTGAACATACCTGGAAATCTTTCATTTTGAATTCAGACTGATGATTGCTCTCTCTTGTGTGTTGTTAGTGGCCCAAGTTTAGATGATGGTGAGGATGAAAATGACAGTGAAAAACCAGGCCCAAGCACAATGTCAAATGGACAGCGTAAAGAACGTACAGCCCAGCAAAGAACTGGGGAAGCCATGTTGCGTCACATCTTACAGGAAGTGGAGGGCGAGTGTTATAGTTTCAGGTATAACTACCAAAATGTATCAAAATAACTTTATACCTTAATAACCATTTCAGATATAAAGGTGTCATATTGTAAACAGTCTCTGTCTGTCTGAAACTCTTCCAATGTCTTTGATATTTTTTTTTCTTGGAATGTCTTGCTGGGTACCTTCAGCAGTATTCTTCATTATAGTGGCACTATAAAGTTGGATTCAGTTCCAAACTATGCCAAAGGGGCTTGTGCGAACATATTACAGCCTCAAGTAAACTCATTCACACTTTGCATATATGGGAGGCTGCCCTTAAATGATCTTATCTATTGATAGTAGGCAAAGCAGTGTTTATAGACAGGGTTGAGACAGTGCTACTATAAGTATATCTAGTGCCTTTACATTCCCTACAGACAAGTTAAACTTTCCAGTGATTTTTTTAGTCCTATTGGCAGCTGAATCCGGCTATATCCCATTAATGAGTGTTATTTTCCCGAAATGAGGAAACATCAAGGATATATTTTCCCAAGTTTGTACAAAACATTATTTTCCAAATTTATACAGGCACAGGCTGCTATAAAAAAAAACTATGTAGAAAAAAAACCTGCTACCTTGCAACAGTCAAGGTCATATAAGGACAGGAAAACAGTAGAAAGGGGAAGGTATATAGGAAAGAAAGAAGTGTCACAATGGGAACATGTTTATGTTGGTCTCTTCGATGTCCCTGTAGTAGAAGACACAAAGAAAAACCCTGATTTGCAGGAGGCCAACGTATAATCAATGCTAAGGAATGTACATTAAAATACAACTGGTTATATTTTTTGACTCTTTGATGTCTCTTAAACAGAGGGCAAGAGAGAAACCACTCCTGATCTGTAAGGGGTGTCCCAGAATTTGTTCACTCATACAACATATAAATACCAAAGGCATCTTCTTTCCCCACTACCTTTACATGTCCTGACAATATCAGGTGAAATGTAGTTGTTACTGGCCCCAAAAATAGGTTTTGAGATGATCCCTGTAAAGAGCTCTCATTCACAGCTCACATTTTCATCTGACAATTGAATTGTAAAATATTTATGTTAACAGTGAAGCCTTACCTGCCCTGAGCTATTTCCAAAGTCGACAAATTAAGCAAACAGCATGGAAATGTCAGCTAGAAATTACTTCGGGTATTCGTATACCTATATGTTCTTATGCAAAGGTAAGTTGAAATTTTCCTCTGTAATTTTTTTCTGATGCGTAATTTTCTTTACTGGTATGGAAAGGTTTGTGCAGACCTTTCATGAATACCCATCCATCTCGGATACAAATACTACAAAAGTATAACGCAGACACAGAATCCGGTCATTGTCTATTTCATTTTCAAACCTTCTGTTTCATTTAATCAAATTTACTGAAAGAAATTGGAGGCCTAGAAATTGAGGCTCAATACCCCATGAGCAATATTGAAGATTTGATACAGAATTTTTCACTTTATATTAATTTATAATAATGACAGTCAGTGACAAGCTGATATTTTATTAAAGATGTTACAATATAAAATTATATCACATCTTTTGTAATGCTATTGACAGATAATGCATGATAAATGAAAATCAGGTGAGGTTACCAAAGATACTGGAAAATATTCCTCACTAATGTTTTAGCTTAAAGATTTCAAACTAAAGCAGAGCTGGAAACGAGTATATGCCAAGGACCCATCAGAGGAGGTGGGCACTCTTAGGACATACCATATGAAGGATGAAGAGGAAACAGAAATAGATAAAGAGGACATGATAGAAGGTGAAATTTTGAAGGTTATTTACTATGAGGTCAAAGGTTACCTACTGCTGTGATATATCAGCAGTGATCATATCAGGAGAGTTCAAAGGTTACCACCTACTGCTGTGGTGTAAAAAGAGGGGCAAAGATTACCTACTTCTGTGGTGTATTAGGAGGGGTCGAAGGTTACATAGTGCTTTTGTGTAATAGGAGAAATTAAAGTTGACCTATTTGTATGAAGTGTCAGGAGTGGTCAGTAATGATTCAGTAATTGATTATGTAGATGATTAGAGGTCAAAGTTTACTTACTTCTGCAGTATATAATGAGAGGTCAATGATAACTTTCAAAATTTGTTCACTATAGGACATGGTTTTGTCAATTATCATCCTACTTTTTGTAGTTGGCTACAGTGTATAATAATTCCTCCAATGCATTGTTTATATGGTATAAAATATTTACAGGTCATCGCTATGGAAACACATTAGTACCGATGTCAGAGGACGATAAGGCTAACATGAAATACAAGGCTGAAAAATGCTTTAAGATTCTTGGATTTACAAAACCAGAAAATGTAAGTGAACCAAGAGCACTGATCGAGATCTTTAAGTCCATATAGGTGGTGAAGCTGGCCTAAAAAATTACTGCTCTGGTCTGCAAGCAGAACCTACAAATTACACCTGTTGCTCTTAGATTATTGATTATAATCATAATTTTTTGGATGCTAGATAAAGAAATACAATTACCATGGTTACTCTTTACAATGAGTTTTTTGGTTGTTGGGTAGAGACACCATTACCTTGGTTACTGTTTATAATGACAATTTTTGGTTGCTAGGTAAAGAGACACATTTACCATGGTTACTGTTTACAATAAATTGTTTCGTTGCTAGGTAGAGAGACACCATTTCCTTGATTAAAGTAACAGTTCAGTGGTTGCTAGGTAAAGAGACAACATTACCTTGGTTACAGTAACAGTTTTGTTGTTGCTAGGTAAAAAGACACCATTACCTTGGTTACAGTAACAGTTTTGTTGTTGCTAGGTAAAGAGACACCATTACCTTGGCGATGGGTCATCATGTGTGGTAGCAGATAAAGGTGATGAGGTAAGTAAAATTCATAAAAATAGTAAAAATCAAATTAAAAGTGTGTTTTATATGTATTCTTTGACTACCATATTTTCCAGGTTATAAGCCACACCAGTATATTTGACGCAGAGCCGGTTTTTCCTGACTTTTTCTTATTTGATCCACATATAAGTCACACTGGAATATAAGCCACACCCTTTGTTACTAAATGGTAACCGTTACATTGACCAAAGTTTGCTGATATAACAGACAACGGAGGGCAATTTATTAAGATCTTCAGTGAAACATTTAATAAAGTTGCAAATGAATCATACACAGATGGTCCTTTATTTTATTGATGGATTTCGAAAAAAGTAAAATACCAAATACAAACTTGTTTGCTTGGGTTCCTTTACAGATTGTCTATCCACAGATATAGGGCCTGACATTATGTATTGTTAACTAAACAGTCTCTCCATCGGTGTCTGTACTGCTAAATGTAATGTATTAATGAAGGCTCTTGCATGCTGAACAAATTCTTATAGTCCCGTATCATTTCTTGTAACAAGCATGGCGGTTGTTCTAGAATTTGACCTATTGATCCCAGGATGCAAAAGGCTATTGTAAACTTTTTGTATGACTTCGAAGTAACCATGAAAGTCTAGAAGATATTATTGTGATTCACATTAAAAGGTATGATTAATTAAATCCACACTAATGTTATTTTTATTTCAACCTTCAAATCCTCCAGTTTACGAAATGCAACTGAAGGTTCTAGATGATCTGTTTCAGTCACAAACATGTGACAGACATGAACTTAGATAAAACTCAGTACCTTATATAAGGTACATAGGCATAAAAGCCACACACTTGATTTGCGAGGCTTATGATCCAGAAAATACGGTATGTTCTTAATAGTTTTTAGGCCAAGTGAGTTTATGCTGTACCATGGTGTCCATTGTCCATCATCCTTCTTCCGTCCAGTAATTTTTTCACATTCTAATCTTCTTCAAAATCGCTTCGCCAATTTTGACCAAACTTGACATGGATCATCAGTAGGACATGTAGATCTGAGTTTTCAAAGTTAATGTGGCCAAATAGGTCAAAAATGGGGTAATCTTTATAATCTTCTACTCTTCTTCTACAATTAGCAGAGAGTAATGGCACATTGAATTATAAGCATGTACTAGGCCTCTTCAGAATTTATGAAATTTATGCCCCTTTGATCAAAAACATAAAAAATGGTGTCATTTTAAAAGTCTTCTCTTTATTTGCAAGCAGAAGAAAGTGATGGTACTTTGTTTCTTGGTTATATCTTTAAAACAGTTGGAATCCCCACTCCATAACCTAATATATATAGTATTTATTGGCATCAAAAAACAAATACAATCATGATGTTTGAATAGGTTCCAAAGTCTGGCCCCATCCTGAGGGACTTTATTTTTTTGAAGTAGTTGAGATTTTCACATAATAACCATTATAATAGTGAAGAATCATAGGGTGCAGTTTTCACAATTATGGTGTAAGAATTGGTCCTGATGCCTGGCCCTACCCCAGGGACTTAGTTTCCTTGTTATATCTTTGAAGCAGTTGAGATCCCCACCCTATAACCATATATAGCAATGATGGGAATGAAAAGATAAAGACCTTCGTGATGTAAGAACTGGCCCTTGGGTTTGGCTCTATCCCTCCGGACTTAATTTCTGAGTCATATCTTTTAGACAGTTAAGATTTCAACCCAATTGCTTGACATCAGGAGATAAACACATTTGATGATGTAAGAATTTAACCTTGGGTGTGGCACACCTCTTCGGACTAAATTTCTGGGTCATATTTTTGAAACAACTGAGATCGTAACCCAACAACCATGTTAACTCCTGCTGGGAATCAAAAGAGAAAGACAGTCATGATATAAGAATTTACCCATTGGTCTTGCCCTTCTAAAGAGGTTTAATGACTGAGCTGTAATTTGGAAGTACAGTTGAAACTCATTTTCTCGAAATCACTTGAGTCAACATTATGTTTGAGTCTAATTAATTTCTAAGTCCAGATTTTTTTCCTTCTATATCTTTGTAATTTTAGTTTGAGTGACTCAAATTTCACAGAGTCAAAATTTCGTTTGAGTTGAAGTGACTTTTCAGCCCAATTTTAAAGCAAGGGAAAAGGCATTTGTTGTCTTGAAATTAAGTTTTGTAAAAATATTTGCATGTCTTCTGACAAAATTGGTCAATACATACACAAGAGTAGAAAGTCATTTGTGCCTAACACTTAGCTAATTACGGCATATTGGTCCACCATACACACAACACTTTGTCTCTGGCGATTAATTTCCAGTTGAATTATCTAATTAAAAGTTAGCTTCTTAATAATTGTCATCATCATAGCAGAAACTTACCTGTACATGTATGTTAAACAAGTAGCACATTTACACAAAACATTTAGGTTGGTTGCTTGCATCTTCAGGAACAATCAAACAAAACGAAACCGTCAAACCAGCACGAACTTTGTGATGAAATCTGATCCCCACAATTCCGAGAGAAATTAATCTTGATCTTGTTTACTAAAGGACTGTGATTGGGCGCTTTGCTAGATTTAGTGCCTGGACAATGACGAGCTAAAAGTATTTTTCATTGATAGGTTCTATATCTGTGCCTGAGTTGTTTAGTATAGAGCTTGTATGTTTTCTATAACAGGTAAAATCTTTCTAGTGCCACATTTTTCATATGTTTATTTATTCATAATAAAGACATGTCAATATTATCTGTAGCTTCATACATCGTTTCCTGTAGGGTATCAAAAGCAAATTTTATTTTTGATTTATTTGTCATAAAATATATGATCTATATGTTCTTGGTCAGTAAGGGTAGTGTACATGTGTGCGAGACAGAATGAGTCCAAATGTGGTTGATTAGTGTTGTTATTATATGTTTTGTTGTTTGGATGCTGGTTTGTCTGTCCCTCCCTCTTTCTATCCATCCTTTCATGTCCAGAGCATAACTTTGCCAAAGTTAAGCCAGGATCATGAAACCTGGTGTATAATGTGGTCTTAGGATAATGAATCTTGGTGACAAGACGTATGAAGTGTACCAATGCCCGCAGCCCTTTGATTATAGTGTAATTGTCTTTTGTATTTTTTTTTTTTTTTTTTGTATCCAGAACATAACTTTACTTGCATTAAAACAAGGATGATAAAGCTTGTCATACCAAGAGGATGTAAAGTGTATCAAATTCAGGGCATGAAACCTCTGTATTACAGAATTATTATTACCCTTTGTCAAATTTTTATGTCTAGAATAAAGTTGTTTCAGGGAGCATTCATGCGTTCCACTGATATTTGTTCATATTGACAAGGAATCACATAAAAAGTACCATATTTAATTCTTAAATAGGTTAATACAACTGGCACCTTCGAAAGATCATGACAAGTATTAATCAAAAGTTTCTGATGAAAAATAGATATGTTAGAATTGATATGTAAAAACATCAATGAGATATAATCATTACCATGGTTTTTATCTTGAGAGTAAGCCCATGTCCGGTAATAAGCCCACCTGTATTGATAACTGTACAATTAACAAGTATATCTCAGTGTCCTGAAATAAGCCTACCACTTGACTTTAAGCCAGAAGTTGTATGGTAATACCACGACATACTGCAGGATAAATAACATATTTTTTTCTGTGTTTACAGGCTGCAGCAGTGGCTCTTTCATCCTTGATACAGGCCCTTTATGAAACGAACATGGTTGCCATAGTGAGGAGAGTATATAGTGCAGCATCTGGGCCCAAGTTAGGCTGTCTCATACCTCACATAAAAGCAGACTACGAGGTAAAAATGGACTTAATTATGTTGTAGGCAAACAAGGGGGATAATTATAAAAGACAGATTTGAAGTCATTTTGTGGTTAAGAAGGACAAATACAAACAATGGTGTTATGTAGCTTTTCAGTTAGCCTATATCCAGAGCTAGGACTTCATGTATCGCACGTTAACAGGGACAAGGATGTTATGTAGATATTCAGTTAGCCTATATCCAGAGCTAGGACTTCACGTATCGCACGTTAACAGGGACAAGGATGTTATGTAGATATTCAGTTAGCTTATTTCCATACCTAGTACTACTTCTATCATATATTAAGATTATTATATCCCCAACTTACATAAGATGGGTTGTATAGTAATCTGTTCATACGTGATTACCATGGGTACAGGATATCTCATGGACCCCTGAACAGATGGATTATATCTCTGTGACCCCTTGTTCAGTTTGGTTTTTATTTGCCAATCTGACTAATGCTACAGTTTATTTCTTAAGAGCTACCTAGAGAATCGTCTTTAAACTTCATGACCATGTTCAGTATTGGTCCTTGTTCAGTTTCCTCTGATTCCTACATCAGGGTCGTTGTTATGTTGGAAGATGTGCGACAGTTTACATTTCTTTTACCAATTGTAGTAAACAGCAAATTTATTTCTTGATTAATATTTTTTCAGTGTTTCATATATGTTGAGTTGCCATTTATGGAAGATGTGCGACAGTTTACATTTGGAAGCCTTCCTGTTACCAAGGAAAACACATCAACAGCCAACAACAAATTTGCACCCTCTGGTAAGGTATCTGCTTTCTTTTACTATAAATTTTGTATTGTGGATATATTCTCACCTCAATCAAGAGGTTTCCAGAAGTGTAAGAACATTTAAAAACAGAACATTCAGTAACATGGACTGCCAAGACTTTAAAAATCAGAAATCTGTTCGATTTATGCTGTAGGTATTATGAAATATATCTAGTACAAGGGATTTTTTATCTGGTTTTGATATCAAAATGTTTATTTCAACAGAGAAACAGTTGGGAGTTATTGACAAACTGATCACCACAATGGATCTCTGTCCTTTACCAGAGTAAGTTATCATCTTTAATGTCGTCTACGTTCCCAATCAATCGTTCAAAATACTGACTCCTGTCCATCATCCAAAGGCTTTTTTCAAAGTCATTGTCCTGAAGCTGTCTTAAATAGGATCCTTTTGTCTTCTTATATTCTATAACTTGACCCTCTGTTGACCTTCTATTTTGTCTTGCTAGTCTATAACTTGACCTTCTGTTTTGTCTCGCTGGTCTATAATTTGACCCTCTGTTGACATTCTGTTTTTTCTTGCTAATCTATAACTTGGCCCTCTATTGACACTCTGTTTTTTCTCACTAGCCTACAACTTGACCCTCTGTTGTCCTTCTGTTTAGCCTCTCTAGTCTATAACTTGATTCTGTTTTGTCTTGCTAGTCTATAACATGACCTTCTGATTTGTCTTGCTAGTCTATAACTTGACCTTCTGTTTTGTCTCGCTAGTCTTTAACTTGACCTTCTGATTTGTCTCGCTAATCTATAACTTGACCTGTTTTGTCTTGCTAATCTATAACTTGACTTTCTGTTTAGCCTCTCTAGTCGATAACTTGACCTTCTATTTTGTCTCATTAATCTACAACTTGACCCCCTGTTGACCTTCTGTTTTGTCTCGCTAGTCTTTAACTTGACCTTCTGATTTGTCTCGCTAATCTATAACTTGACCTGTTTTGTCTTGCTAATCTATAACTTGACTTTCTGTTTAGCCTCTCTAGTCGATAACTTGACCTTCTATTTTGTCTCGTTAATCTACAACTTGACCCCCTGTTGACCGTCTCTTTTGTCTTGCTAATCTATAACTTGACCTTCTGTTTTGTCTTGTCCTTGCCCAATCTTGTAAACAACTCATCATGTGATCTGGGATATGGGATCACCTTGGTTAGACAATGTGTTGTGTAGAAAAAGTAGGCCACTCTGGCCTACATTTTGACCTTTGACATACTTTAAAAAAAAGTTTGTCTAGGCCCTATCTTCCACACTACTGGTCATGAGAACTTTTTTTACCATATTTTCTGGGTTATAAGCCGCAGCCTTTTTCCTTGTACTTACCGTTTGTAACATATCAAAAGATCACTGTGACTTACATTTTGACCTTTGACTTGCATCAAGTAAAAAGTATATCTAGGCTTTAATATTCTACACCACTAATCATGGGAACTTATTACTTGGGATGTGGGTTCACCTTGATGATATGGGTTGTCAAAAGTAGATCACTTTGACCTATTTTTTGACTTATAACCTACATTAAAGAAAAACATTTGCCAGGGCCCTCTCTCTTACACTATCAGTCACTGTAACTTTATACTTTGGATATTGGTTAATCTTTATGAGGCAATGTGTTGCATATCAGGTCACTCTGACTTCAGTTTTGACTTTTTACCTACATCAAAGAAATGGTTTGTCTGGGCTGTATTTCCTATACTGCTTGTCACTGAAATTTCATACTTTGTGTATAGACTTACCATAGTGTATAGGATCACATTGGTGAGGTAGCGTGTCGGTGAGGGACTGTAATTTGTGAAATAATCATGTTTCTGTGTATTTGTAGGGATGATGATGATGAAGATGAGGAAGACAATGCAACAGAATATTTAAAGTCAAAGTTGACCTTTAACCCACATTTCCAGAAGCTTTATCAGGTTTGTACATCAAAAGTCATGAAAATGATGTGAAAAAAGAAAATAATGACCCCGCCTGTGTGATATTGTCATTGCCATATTTTTACTTTTGAGTGGTTGAAAATTGGTATTTCAATCCAATATATGGTTATAGCCAATACATGTTTGTGGCTGTTGATTTTCATAACAAAGATAGTATTCATTTTTGTTAATTTTCATGGCTCTTAATTTTGTGACAGTTAAAATTGTGGCTTTTCAATTTTGTCTCTGTTTATGTCCTTTTCTTACATGCTAACGTAGCAAAACTAAATAGCACATTGATAATTGTTAATATACAGCAATAAACTACAGTGTATTGCTATCTATTTTTATTCATGTATCACCTGTACACATATCAGCGTCATTGAAAGTATGATTAAGTGTTTCACAGAATAAAGCTTGCTTCACTTATTAATCTTATTATAACATAATAGCCAGAATGTCAGCTGTTATTGATTTGGGTGCCATTCTGTGAAAAGTGACTATTTCAAAGTGTCCGATGTAACATATTTTACTCAGATATACTGTGGAATTTCAATTGAGATCAAATAAGATAAATATCTGTACTGATCTTACGCTTCAGTGTGATGACTGTTGATACCACTGTCACTTTCAACATTGAAAATTAAAAAAAAAATTGGACATTTTCATTTTAGAAAAATTGACTTGAAAATGAATGATAATATCAGTAACTTTATTATGGTGTTTGAATTATTAACTTGGCATTAACTTTTCAATTAATGGCTTCTTTTCAATAACCAGCAGATCAAATGGCAATGGTATTTGGCTGATAGGCTCCTAGGACAAACCATGAAAAAATTTGCAAGAAGAAATGACCTTGAGGTTTATTCAAGGACACAGGATCTGATTTGTTAAATATTAAAATGACGACTTCTGACAATACATAAAGTGTAGAAGTATGTTCTTGGCCTGATGGGTTCCTAGAATGAAGCCAGACAAAGTTTGAAAAAGAAATGTCCTTGAGCCATATAAGTTCACAGGGATCAAATTTTTTGAAAACTGTAAAAGATAACTTCTGGTCAACCAAGAGTCCGAGAAGCATGGTTTTTGTGGCAAGATGTTTCTAAGTCAAAACCAAGAAAATTTTTAGAAAAAAAGAAATGGCATTTACTTAAAATCCATGCCATAACTGTCACTGTTTAGAGTTGAGTATTAGAAGCTCTTTGTTGTGAAAATTGGTTAAAATTGATTGGAAGTGCCCACTTTGAATGCCAATGGTGTGTATGTCAATATATTTGTGTTATTAACACTGATTCTATTTTTAATGAATCAAAAGTGTCTTCAACATCGAGCACTGAATCCAGATGAGCCCCTAGCAGAGTTATCCCCCCTGGTAGCAAACTACTTGAAACCACCACAGGAGGTCCTGACCAAGTGTGAAGAGCACATTGAGAGCTTGAAAAAAGTGTTCAAGTTAGAGGTGGTGAAGAAAAAGGAGGAAAAGACTGGTGAGAATCAGTTCAAAGAAAGGTAGGTTTTATTTTGTTACCGAAACAGAAACTAAGAAACACTTTTAGTAATTAGTTTGCCTGCATTTAAACTAGGAAATTGAAAGGAGATGTCTACATCAGTCCTACAAAACTAAAGTGCAGTGTAGCAAAGTCAAGTCCCATGAATCCTCAGTACAGAGTTATTGCCCTTTGTTGAAATTTTGTGTCATGACATAGCTTTGCTGGCATTAAAATTAGGATCGTGAAACATTGATGTATACATTGGTCATAATTAAAAAATATGCAGTTTACGAAATTCAGGGCCTGCAACCCTTTAATTACAGAATTATTGCCCTTTGGTTAATTTTGTGTTCATTGAAGTCTTATTTGGGAAGCATTCATCAGTTTTGCTTATAGTCTGGCGTTATGATTATTTTGTATTCATTTCCTGCAGTGATGAAGGTGATGCTGGGAAGGCGAAGAAACCACGCCTTGATGATGACCTTGAGGGTGGCATGGCGGATATCACTAGGACAAAGGTCACAGAGGTAAGGTCACAACAGTTTAAGGTATTTAGAAAAAGGCTTACAGGGGAAGCTAGATGCCAGAATGTAGGAAGATTTTTGGTTTCTGAGTCAGGAAAAAGTTGATGAGGGTGTCTCCTTGTTTGATATAATTTGTTTTATCTTGAGATTTTTATGCTTGTTAGGGTTGAGGGGTTATACTGCTACCCTAAGATGTCATTCCTTCATAATTTTGTTTTTAGCCCACCATCATCAGATGGTGGGATATTCAAATCGCCCTGCGTCCATGGTCCGTGGTCCGTCCGTCCATCCGTAAACAATTCTTGTTACCGCTATTTCTGGGAAAGTACTGGATGGATCTTTCTCAAATTTCATATGCAGGTTCCCCTTGGTCCCTAGTTGTGCATTGTACCCTTTTTGGACTGATTTGAATTCAAGATGGCCGACAGGCAGCCATCTTGGATTTTGGAAGTAAAAGTTTGTTACCGCTATTTCTGGGAAAATACCGGATGGATCTTTCTCAAATTTCATATGCAGGTTCCCCTTGGTCCCTAGTTGTGCATTGTACTTTTTTTGGACTGATTCGAATTCAAGATGGCCGACAGGCAGCCATCTTGGATTTTGGAAGTAAAAGTTTGTTACCGCTATTTCTGGGAAAATACCGGATGGATCTTTCTCAAATTTCATATGCAGGTTCCCCTTGGTCCCTAGTTGTGCATTGTACTTTTTTTGGACTGATTCGAATTCAAGATGGCTGACAGACGGCCATCTTGGATTTTGGAAGTAAAATTGTGTTACCGCTATTTTTGAGGAAGTACTGGATGGATACTTTTGATATTTCATATTGGTTTCCCTTGGTCCCTAGTTGTGCATTGTACTTTTTTTGGACTGATTTGAAATCAAGTTGGCCCACAGGCAGCCATCTTGGATGTCGACAGTAATACAGCACAAGCATATTTTCTTCAATGTTCTATCATATTGATGCAAGACCATGTCCATTATCCACCTGTAACTGACTGCTATCTAATAATACTTTGGGATCTTTTTCAAATGATATTTGCTAATAGGTGCTTAATAAAAATATCTTGTGTCATCATTGAGTACATTCAATGAAGACCAGTTCATGAACATTTATAAAACCTGTAACACAAAAAAAAATAAACAAATCTTCAAGAACTGAAAACAGATCCTCAAATGGTGGGCGCCAAAATCCCTCTGGGATCTCTTGTTGCTTTTATACCTGTTACCTGTCATCAAGGCTTTTTTTCATATCGGCCTTAGGTCTCTCTGACCAATCACTGGAAATTTAACAGATACAGATCTACAACTGTAATTTGGTATGTGACTGAAAATGTGCAGGTCAAAACCTGATTTGGTTGCAGTCAATTATTAATTTTTTCCAGATTAATGACCATTAAAATTTAATCCTTTTACTTATTGGAGAGTTTTCCTTTGTTCCAGTGGGGATTTTAAAATGCCTCTAACAAAGCCTGAAGAACAAGGTTTTTCCAAGACTGACCCTAACTCTTAGTAGGGCATAAAGCAGTGATAAATTAAAGTAACTCTACAAGACCTACATATTGACCCTTATTGTGACCAAGTACTCCCAAAATTAACTGTAAAGGCATACACTAAATCATTCATGATTGGAGTCTGTGAATCTTTAACTGCATAAAATTTGAGGGTTTTATGAAAAGCAACACAATTACACAAAAAATACTCCAAATTTCTCCTTGCTTGCCAACACATGTAGTTTTTATCGATTAATGTTAATTAACTTAGTATGATGCAATTAAATTTTAGTAATCATCCCCTGTTTACAAGTTAAAGTGTAGTGATAGATATGTGTATCTATAATAATTCTGTGTACTGTGTAAACTTCATTCAGCAATGGTAATTCACACAGTCTTTTCAACATGGAAAAGACAAAAACAAAATAACAGCTACAATATATGTGTTTATAGTAACTACAGATAATAAAATCATTGAAAACTGTCCTTTTTCTCCATAAAACACACAACTCTTGACCCAAATGGGATATCTTATCGGTCAAACCATTAATCCTTTACTTTTGAAACCATAATTGTGTCAGGACAGGTATGTTTATCATATCTATATTTGGTTGGTGTATGATATACCAGTCAGGTGATCAAATCTATTTCTCACCGGTAAGCTTTAAGTATTATAACTCGTCATGAAGATGACACGTCTCAGGTATTCACAGTTTTTTCATTCCACTGTCTTCTCTAATGCTTTAAGCAATTTCTTTCTATCAGTCATGGTTGGATGAATTTAAGATGTGTTTGTTGTCATTTGTATTGTTGTTGTAGGTTGGTACTGTCACACCTGTTGAGGATTTTGTCGCTTTCATCAACCAAAAGGATGAGGATAAATTTGAAGAAGGTAACAATGTTTTCCCCTTTTGCACAAATGTCTGTAAAATATAATCTTTATCAAATTTTCATGATTGTTAACAATTGACTATATGTGACCCTTGATAAGGAAGTTGGTTGCTGCTAAGGATAAAATTTAGATGTAAGAGAACTTTCCAGGATTGGATTACTGAGTTTACAATTATGTGTTCAGATTGGAAGGCTACCAAACATGGCCCTAGACAAACTCGTTTGAGCCAGAATATTTCTATCTGTTTAGAATCATATGAAAATAAAAACACATCTATTGTAGCAAGTCGGCAGATGCAGAAGAGGATAGAACAGATTGTTGTGGACTCTTTTGGTGCCCAGTTCTACCCTAAAGCCATGGACTGCCTGAAGGCTCTACGCTCTAACTCAGTTAAGGTATAACAAGCGTTTGATTAGGGTGAGAAAACATTTACTTACTATGCCATCCGCGTATCAAGGTGACCTATTTGGATCGGATATTTGTTTAGTGTTGTGTGTCATAAACTTTGGACATTTTCCGCTACTCCAGGAAAACCACTGAGCCGATCATTATATATGTTTTATATTTATATTTTGATATTTTGCAGAAACCGCCCAAGGTCAAAGGTTAACAAAGATTGTCAATTAAATAGTCCCAAGCCCACATGGGCCTGAAGGACAAGGCCAAAAAAGGTCGAATTGACTAAAATTTCAAGAATTTTCTTTTCTCTACCAAGATGCAATAGAATCAAGTACTCTTTATGGATAAATGTGTGTTAAAGTGCTTTACCAAAACTGTAAATTACATGACCTCAGGGTCTAACATTTCTTTTCAGTACCCAGATAATGTTGAACCAAATACTCTTCATGAATTAAAATATCTCAAGGTGGTCACCCTAAAGGGTAAATTTTATGACCCCATGGTCTCACATTTTCCCTTGGGGAGGGGTAAAGTTTACTATATAGTTTATATATAGCAAAAAGTATATCTGTTAATTTTCTATCGAAATAGTTTTTAAACTTTGTCAGAATTATTACAGTAACTATAGGATGTTAGTTTGATAATATGCATATACTGACCCTGCCTGACCCAATAAGGCAGATGGGAGGTGCCAAGAAAGAGTAAAATTGTCTGAAATTTCATACATTTTCCTCTCAATACCCAGATATGGTAGAACAATATACCCTTGTACTCTTCATGGATGAACGAGTTGTAACATGTTTTACAAAAATTGCAAATTTCATGAGTCTCACATTTCCCCCTGGGGAGGGGGTACAGTTTACTTTAGTTTATGTGGGAAAATAACATTTTTAGCATAATTTTGTTTTCATTTGGAAATACTGAAACTTGATTAGAATTATTAGTATGGCAGTTTTATGGTACACATATTGGTCCTGGCTGGCCCCCGGGGGCTGGTGGGCAAAGCCAAAATGAGTCAAATTGTCTCAAATTTCTCAATTTCAAGATATGATAGAATCTATTGAATACTGCTCACAGATGGAAGATTTTATATAGGAAAATAACATTTTTGAGTGTAATTTCTTATAATTCAAAGGTGGTTAGAACCATTAGCATGGAATGAAAGTTAATGTAATGTACAGTTTACATTAGCATCACATGTTCAATGGAGTTCAAGTTATCTAACTTTATCAACAAGATTATTTCTTTGACATGTTACAAGAAGAACAGCAGCATTGTGACTCAGATGACTGTTAAGGCCTTTAGACCTCCTGTTAAATGTCTTGTGTTGTTAATTTTTAGGTACTGAGGTCTTGAGTCATCAGGTGGGGTAATCTTCCTAACATGTCAGCATCAACTCATGTAGGAGTGACTGAAACTGTGATTTTTTTTTCTTCAGAAATCAGAACCAGAGCTTTTTAATGCATTTATGAAGAAGTTCAAGGAAATGCTGATCACTAAGGGAAGGCGGGACTTCTGGGAGCTGGTGATGACAGGTAGGTTATTGATTATCAGCAGTAACAAGCAGGTCACAAAGGACAACAGGTAAGATATTGATTACCAAGGGCAGGCAGGATTTGCGAAGTAGGTTATTGATTACCAAGGGTAGAAGAGATTTCTGGTAACTAGTGGTGACAGTAGGTTATTCCAAGGAAAGAAGGGGCTTCTGGGAACTGATGTTTGGAGGTAGGTTATTGGCCCGATCTGCGGAACTGCTCTTCAGATGATTGTGCAGTTTCTGTGTTTTAGATTATACACATGAATCTACTTAGATTTCACAAAATTATATCTGATGTTGTTTCACTAGAAAACCAGGGCCTAATATCAAAGATGGAGAGTGAAGATAGCACTGTGTCCAAAGAGGAAGCCAAACTGTTCATTAGTGAGGAGGTGGAAAAGGAAGAAGAGGATGTGAAACAGGAAGAAGGTGATGATGCAGATGATCTTGTAAGTATATTACTCTGTTACATATACTTTTTCCAAAAGCGTTCCAACTTTAGTCAAATATCTTTTTATGAAATTGATGTTTAGATGGTCTACATCAGTGAAAATGGAAGAAAGACAATGTGACATTGCATTGATTCTGGCAAAGAATTGCAGGGTATTGTCAAAATTTGGTCCAAAGCATGCTTGAGTGAAGGGAATTCAGTTTTGTGTAAATGGTGGATCTGGGGACACCTGGGCCCAGAGGATAGGGGCCAGTGGGGAAAAATTTATCAATATCTTTAAAAGATATGTTGTTCTTTAGGAATGGCAGGATATTGTCCAAATTGGGTCCGCTTTGGTGAAGGAAATAAGTTTTGTATAAACAGTTGGTCTTGGCCCGAAAGGGCCAGAGGTGTGTGGCCCAATCAGGAATATCTATCAATTTCTTGAAAATCCATCTGGTTCTTTAAGAATTGCTGAATAATGTCCACAAATGATCTGAAGCATGCTTGGGTGATCGGACATCAGTTTTGGATCAACGGTGGGCCAGAGGGAAAGTCCTTATAGGGAAAATCTATCAGTTTCTTTAAGAATCTATCTTGTTCTTCAGGAATGGTGGGCTATTGTCCAAAATTGGTCTGAAGCATGCTTGGGTGAAAGGAAATCAGTTTTGTGTAAATGTGTCTGTTCAACACATAATAGTTATCTCATGATCACTTTTAAGCTCTGACTATTAGGACCTTCGGATCTATTCTTGATGCCTCCTCCATGATTTGTTTTTTGAACTTCAATCGGTTGTAAACTTTCATTGCCTTCAAAATGTAGGCTTAGAATACAAAAATTACGTAGCCTGACACTTACCTAATTATAATAACTTTATAGATGGATTAGCATCATTACTATGAATATATTCGCTCAATTTTATATCCTTCCAGTGTTGATTATAACTATTAATCAATTTAGCACATGACCAGTTTTTGTGTCACCTGCAGAGCTGTCTGTGACCCTTCTTGGCTGAGTTATGCCCCTTTCAACTTAGCAAATTTGCTGGGAATATTTTTTTCCAGACTTTTTTGGCTTACGCTTTGAGTTATCGAAATGAAAATTGGTATATGGCTTCTTGTTGCTAGGGTACAGATTAAGTTTGATTCCTGGCTGTCTGTGACCCTTCTTGGCTGAGTTACGCCCCTTTGAACTTAGACAATTCTCTGGGAATATTGTCTTCTTGACTTTCTTTGGTTATACTTTGAGTTATAGAAATAAGATTTGGTATTAAAACTTTATGGTTGATCGTTGCATATCCAGTTCAATTTCTGGATGACTGTGACATTTTATGCAGGTGACACATACAAGTACAGTACACAGGTACATTTCAGGTAAATTGCATCATGATTGGGTAGCAAGTTGTCATACTTCAATGCTCCAATACAAAAGGTGCACAATACATGCATGAAGATTCTGTGCAGTTGCCTATCCTTCTATTCTAAGAACATGATAGCATATAACCTTAACTCTAACACAAATCTCAAATATAATGTGTAAGTTAGTATATAACCTTAACTCTAACACAAATCACAGGTATAATGTGTAAGGTAGCATAACACAAATCACAGGTATAATATGTAAGGTAGCATATAACCTTAACTCTAACACAATTCACAGATATAATGTGTAAGGTAGCATATAAACTTAACTCTACAACAAATCTCAGGTATAATGTGTACGGTAGCATATAACCTTAACTCTAACACAAATCACAGGTATAATGTGTTAGGTAGCATATAACCTTAACTCTAACACAAATCTCAGTTATATTGTGTAAGGTAGCATATAACCTTAACTCTTACACAAATCTCAGGTATATTGTGTAAGTTAGTATATAACCTTAACTCTAACATAGATCACAAGTATAATGTGTAAGTTAGCATAAAACCTTAACTCTAACACAAATCTCAGGTATATTGTGTAAGTTAGTATATAACCTTAACTCTAACACAAATCTCAGGTATATTGTGTAAGGCAGAATATAACCTTAACTCTAACACAAATCTCAGGTATATTGTGTAAGGTAGCATATAACATTAACTCTAACACAAATCACAGGTATAATGTGTAAGATGCCATATAACCTTAACTCTAACACAAATCTCAGGTATAATGTGTAAGGTAGCATATAACCTTAACTCTTGCACAAATCTCGGGTATATTGTGTAAGTTAGTATATAACCTTAACTCTGACACAAATCTCAGGTATAATGTGTAAGGTAGCATATAACCTTAACTCTAACACAAATCTCAGGTATAATGTGTATGGTAGCATATAACCTTAACTCTAACACAAATCTCAGGTAAATACAAAATGTGTTAGTATTCCTGATGCCATTTTGGTTTTTGTTGCTTTCAGCTTGACATGGTGTAGCATCCAGTTTATCGTTAGTCAGCCTGTCATCGACGGTCAGAGAAGCAACAATGGCAGCTTGGTGTTTACTGTAACTTAAGGGGAAAGAATAGTTTTGAGAGGAAATGAAACAAGATTCGATCTCCCTTACATAATCTCCATTACATACTCATAGTTAAGTGTAATTATTTCCTGATGTTTTAACATTACAAATTGTCATGTTATAAGGGAGAATGTGTGAAGTCATATTTCTCTGACGTTGTTGTTACAGAATGTCATGTTATGGAGATGAAAGTGAACAGTCATATCTCTCTAATGTTATCATTACAAAATGTCATGTCATAAGGGAGAATGTGTAAAGTCATATTTCTCTGACGTTGATGTTACAGAATGTCATGTTATGGAGATGAAAGTGATCAGTCGTATCTCTCTAATGTTATCAATAGAATGTGTCATAAAACAGGAGTAAGGCTTTATTTCCCAAGTGACAGAACTTAATTTTTTAAGACCTTATGTCAGGTATTACAGAGCCATAGTAATGTCTTAATCAGCCGTCATAATAGATATGCTGAGATAATTAAGATTTATCTTCTAAAATACCAGATTGAAAAATAAAGATATTATAGATATATTCAGTAAAAGACCAGGATGAAGAATAAAAAAAGATTTAGATAAATCTGTTAAAATACTAGGTTGTAGAATAAAGATCATTTAGATTTATCCAATAAAAGAACATGATAAAGAGTTGAGAAGTTAGATTTATCCATTAAAAGAACATGATAAAGAGTTGAGAAGTTAGATTTATCCATTAAAAAACCAGGATGAAGAATAAAAAAGATTTAGATAAATCTGATAAAATACGAAGTTGAAGAATAAATATAAACTGGATTTGTCCATTAAAAGACCAGTTAGAAGAAAAAAGATAATATAGATTTATCCATTTAAAGACTTATGTCTTTATTTATTGTTACTATTTTTAGCAGTACATTTTTTGTGTTTGAGGTAAATGACAATAAACATGATAATGAAGTCTGTTTTGAACTTAATGCGTCTATAAATTGTGATCGGATACATATGGCCCGTACCTATCATTACCTGGCACATATCTTGCTCGCACTTGTGGACAGGTGTACACGGACGTCCGACATGCCAGCAGCAAAATGTGGAACATGCTCCATACTTGTCACGGGTACGTTACAGGTGTTTATCAGGAGAGCTCTGCGCAGAACACACGCAGGAGGCTCATAGCGCCGGCAAGTCATCGGCAGTTAATTTCTTTCGTTGACATAATGCGGGTGATCTGCTGGCAGGAAACAGTGTTGCACAGCAAACCTGCGTGTGACCTGACATTTCTGCTGGCATGGACTGAAGTATACGAGGAAAGTGATGGCATCTTAAGGGGCAGTCAAGAAAGAGGACCTTTATACTTGATGGCTAACAGGACACTTTTTTAGATTCAACTGGGCATCATACGGGCACACCTGGGCCTACATGTACCCGGGCTTGGATGAGTCCCGAGAGACGCAGACTAGGAAATAAGGACCTCTTTTTAGGTTTTCAGATTTACAGTCGTTTGGCCTTTCAGTGGATGAGAAAAGATAGGAAAAAAGTCGAGAGGGAAAAGTAGGAAATGATGGGAGAAAGTGTGATACAGAGACGAGAGAGTGACCGTCTCTACTTCCTGACCTGTACTGCAAACTATTTTTAAAGATGTATATGCTGTAACAGAGGAGAACATCGCATACTTCCTGTTGTGTCAGTATGCACCAATGACTGAGAGGATCAGTATTAATCCTCACTTGTACGGACAGTCTCCATGGGCACCTTGGAGACCTTTGATTGTGAAGAGTATTTCGCAGGGTTCTGGTGTCCAGGAGAGGAATCCTAAGGTGTCCCTTTCAGCGCCCTAGATATTGATCCAAGTCTCCAGATCCCTATGATTGTCCAGTATACCATCCGGTCTTCCGATAATGTACTCAAGACGCTTGACATAATACATCTTAGAGCTATTAAAATACATCGTCAGTTAGTTTACTAAGATATGTGCGAGTTGCTGTTTAAAGTTCGACGAGAGAAACTAATTATCAAATATTGGACTAGGATAGAAATATTAGGACCTCATTTTTGCTCCCAATATATTAGGGAAGCGTTGTATAGGGGTAAAATTTAATTACACCAGCAACCAGCCTGTGACCATCAGGTTGTCATTTTAAAAGTATTTAATGTGGATAGAATTCAAATAGATCAGTAATTAAGCATTTCGAGTGAGTCATGGCTTTTACCTAAACCGGAAATTAATAAAGTCTTCACACAACCAACAACAGAAAAACTAAATCAATCATTAAGTAGTTGCCATGGCAATCATTGATGATAAATATAGCAATTTTATCAAATACTATACTGACGGTAAAAAAATCCAACAAATAATAAAGTAGGTTTAGGAGTTTTGTGACAACACAAACAGAATTTTAGCCTATTGCTCTGTGTATTCAAGAGAGTTTATAGCTTTCGGCTTAAAATTATGGCTCATTGACAAAACAAAACCAGACAGCGTTTTCATTTCGCCTGATCGTCTTTCGGCCATACAATCCATATAAACCGAAACAGCTCGAGGCCTGTCACGCTAAATTAAATTTTACGCTTGTTACACATTTTAGAAAAACAGAGGATCACTGTAGAGTCTGCACACCTTCCATCTGGTATAAATATCCCCGTTAACGAAATAGCAGATAAATTAGTTAGGGAATCTTTAGATTATGACATCACATACATCGACGTCAACTTTTCTTATTCACTGATCAATAAAGCTATAGAACAAAGATGGGATCAACTTTGGAAAGATCAAAACAACTCGGAACAACCTGAGGCTAATTATAGAAATACCCATTCGGAAGTCACAAGTGTACTTTTGTGATAAAACAGATAATACACGTTATTACTAGACTACGATTGGGCAAAACAAAATTGAATTTAAACATTAATATCATGTTAAAACAAATATCACCAAATTGTGATTTCTTTGATAACGTGGAGTCAATCATGTCTTCTGTTCTAAACATCTCGGAGCTAGGACAGAACACTACAAGGAATTTACTAAAAATATAATCCCAGTCATTTCCACTTAAATAGCTTTCTACCGTCGCTGGATAAACAGGGCATTGTCCACAACACGATTATCAGATATTTCGAAACAATAGGTTAATACAAAAAAAATATAACAGACAAAACACCACATTGCAAAGACGATGGTGTCGGGATCTGGAGAATCTGACCCATACCTAGGGCCAACAGGGACATATTAGGGCGGCTACATGAACATCAGAACCCTGCGCAATACTGTCTAGAATTTCCTAAGAAACAAAAGGTGATTACCAGGGAGGATTACTACTGATCCCCCATTTATTGGTGTATACTGACGTCCAAGGAGGTCTGCGGTGTCGTCCTCTATGTCCCATCCCCGCATGCACATCTGTAAAATAGTTTACAAGTACAGGCAAGGCAGTTGTGTCCCCCGGGGGTTCCGAGCAGAACGTTCGCTGCCAAAAGTGTACACAAGTTAGTTCACAACGAAAATCCCCATCATATACGAACGATTCGGTTTATTCCCCACTGTCCCAAAACTAAATAAATAAACTTCCCAACTGTCCCAAAAGTAGGGTTGTTGTTATGGTGATCAGGGGTTGAGAGTGATGTTTTAACACTGTCCAAAAAGTCACAGGTAAGTGGACACCATGATTTATTTCCATCCTCATATTTATGTAATATCTTGAAATAAACTCTAAATGTGAAATATTTTTTCCAAACTGTCATTCATGTATTTCCAAATCTTTCATTCAAATTCTAAAAATTAAGTATAAACCTAATAAATATTATTGAATAATCATATTAATTTATTTACATTAATAAATTGTCATATTCACATAAAATATTATAATAATTTAAATCGGAATATTTCATATTTAGTCATTAAAAAATCATTCAAGATGAACAGTAAACAATAACACTTAGCCAGAGGTTGAGGCAACTACCCAAGCTGTTTGAGATTAACACTTTAACAAGATGTTGAGGCAACTGCCCAAGCTGTTTGAGATTAACACTTTAACAAGATGTTGAGGCAACTGCCCAAGCTGTTTGAGATGACTAAAATCATGAGATGAATATCCATGCTATCTGAGATGAGTAAAATATCCAAGCTAGGTGAGTAGATATATATATCATATGATTTTGGAATTGGCATCATCAATGCAATTATGGCTAACTATCAAGTTCAGACACAACTAATCAACGTGGAGGCCGAAGACTAAATCAGGCCGGATGCAGCTATATGGTAAAGAATAAGTACAAAGATACAACCTATTGGAGATGCTGCATTCGAGACTGCCCTGCAACAATCAACATCACCAATGACATTCCTGTGAAGATGGGACAACAATACAATCATGAACCCAACAGATTGAAAGTAGATGTACAGAAAATCATGCAGAATGTAAAGAGAAGATGTAGAGAAGAACTTAAACCCATACCAAGTATCTACGATGAAGAAATCGCCCAGATACAGACACCAGACTGGACAGATGAGACACGCCGAATGGTGGAACAGATACCGACCTTCCCCTCCAGCAAGTCATACTGCCAAAGTTACCCACTTCAGCTACTGCTATAGCCTTAGAAAACGAATGTAAATAATATAATGGTAAACATTTGTTATCCTGTATTTTACCTGTGCTCGGAATAAACTATCTAATTGTCACCTCATCATGTTGTTTTCTGAGTCATTACTGGCCTATATACACAACTCCCATCTGTCCCAAAGAATTTTTACCAGTTATTTTCGATTTTGGGACGGTTGGGAATACACCGAACGATACATTGCTCGGGTAACGGTGACAGAATGGAGACTCGGGTTCATACCTAGGGCGCTGTAAGGGACACAGTAGGGCTCCACTTCTGATTATCACAGCTCGACACATTACTTGCACCATCACATAAATACTTTAATAGCTTCAGACAGGCGACACCTTGCCCTTAACATAGGGCGCTGTAGTATCACAGCAGTGTCCTTTTGTCTAGAACTATACACTCAACCCAACCACTTAGTTCCAAAAATAATTTTGTATTTTAAAGACTCGTCAGGTTTGCATGTGCACTTAACATCTTAAGTGAAGAATTACTGTCGCATGAAACAGACATACGATATAGCTGAAAACAGAACAATTACACGAAAACCTAACACCACACTCAAAAAAAAAAAAAAAAAAAACCTGGTTTTATATGTATTTACAGCTTTGTCACCTCGTGCGCTTATCTACAATCTTAAGTGAATATTTGTACTATCACACATAAGACAAATACAATAAACACACAGTCAAACAAACACAAGGTATTTCCTTGAGTACATCTGAAAATCTTGGATTTCAACTAAACTTTGCATGAATTATCACCACAAATTACACATTTCAAATTCGTGAATTCCAACTTGATGGACTGCTTTCCCTGAATTTTTTAAGATCCGAAAAGGAATATTTCAGCTTGTTTCTTGATCTTAGAATAGTTGTCCATATGAATGAAAATTGCAAACATTAAAGCACAGCCTCCCGCCCCCAAACTCACCTACCATGTTATCAAAAAAATCATCCCAAAAATGTCTCTATCCATGTCAAATGAAGGATTAGGTAACTTTCCAAAATTTCTTTTTATTGATTGATTTTGTTGTTGTTGTTGTTGTTGTTGATATACAGTCTTAAGTTCATTAAATAAAAAACTAGCATTTTCTCATTTGTTTTCTTAATATCCCTGTATTAGTTTATAACCTTTTAATGAAAGAAGTTAATTAATTTCATAAAGGTGCCGCGGAATAATAAGAAATTGTTGCTATTCAGGAAAATAATTATATGTGAAAATCAATCATTGCACGTTAAACATATTAGGACACCTGTATGGGAGACAATGTAAGTTGATTTTTGCTTTTAAATCGCTTTCTAAAATCTAACCGTTCAAAGTCCTCAACAGAAGAAAGCTTTAATATGGATTTTTTTTCAGGGGAGTGCATCCTCAATAAACAAAAGTTTTCCATGAAAATAAATTCCAATCCTTGTGCAGGAATATATATGAATTCCATTTTTTGTTTAAGGCAGTAATTTTCTATTGCAGACATACTGAATAACCGCGAGACTTTTTAACAGTCGGGTGATATAAAATGTCGTCTACTGCTCCAGATATAGTTTACATCCACTTACGTCCCAGTTCTATATGAAGTACATAAATCTCTAGTCTTAAGGAATCTCAACAGGTTAAGATTATTTACCTTATCAGCAAGAAAGCAAATTTATCATAAATCGATTGGTTAATTGATGACATTTTCCGATAAAGCGGTGACGTGTAAAAGATCTGGGAGAAAGGTCATTTAAACCACGATACTGGCTATTGTCAAATTATATATCATTTGTCATTCCACCGGATATTTTGCAGGACAAAGAGGAAATCCTTCGAATCAGATGTTTACATGTACCAAAAAGTTGCTGCTTCAATAATATACCTTTCAAAAAACCAGTTAGACGTAATAGGAAAAGGAGATTCTAATACGAAGCAATTAGCTATTCAAATAGATATTTAAATGCAGGGGTTTTTTAATGTAAAAAGATTTGTATTTGAAAACAGTATTTGATTACTCAAATTCATTCAAATATCCAAAGAACGTACCCACGTGTAAACATTAACAGTTGGTGAGGTATTAGTTTCAATCACATTGATAAGGGGCATTTAGCGTCAAATTGAAATGACAAAATTAACATTAGTATGCAAACTGTCTTAATTTACATGTAATGGAGACGATTTTAAGATTTATCTATCCACGCTACATATAAAATTGATATATATCACAACACACAATAGCTTTTATGGATATCAATGTACAAATTTCGATTTTAAAATTTTCGTTATATACCCTTGTGATCTAGCTGATTGCAGTTCTAGTGATTCAGTTCAATCAAATTAATATATATCTGTAGCATATCTGTATACATAGATCTGTAGCAGTTTATCTATATATACATCTGTATCATTTTATCTATACATACATGTGTGACAGTTTATCTATACATACATGTGTATCAGTTTATCTATACATAAACCTGTATCAGTTTATCTATACATACATGTGTGACAGTCTATCTATACATACATGTGTAGTAGTTTATCTATACATACATGTGTATCAGTTTATCTATACATACACCTGTATCAGTTTATCTATACATACACATGTATCTGTTTATCTATACATACACCTGTATCAGTTTATCTATACATACATGTGTGACAGTCTCTATACATACATGTGTGACAGTCTATCTATACATACATCTGTATCAGTTTATCTATACATACATGTGTGACAGTCTATCTATGCATACATGTGTGACAGTTTATCTATACATACCTGTGTGACAGTTTACCTGTACATACATGTGTAGTAGTTTATCTATACATACATATGTGTCAGTTTATCTATACAAACAGGTGTGAGAGTTTATCTATACATACATGTGTGACGGTTTATGTATACATACATGTTTGACAGATTATCTATACATACATGTTTAGCAGTTTATATATACATACATCTGTATCAGTTTATCTATACATACATCTGTATCAGTTTATCTATACATACATGTGTGACAGTCTATCTATGCATACATGTGTGACAGTTTATGTATACATACATGTGTGACAGTTTACCTGTACATACCTGTGTAGTAGTTTATCTATACATCCATGTGTGTCAATCTATCAATACATACATGTGTGACAGTTTACCTATACATACATGTGTAGTAGTTTATCAATACATACATGTGTGTCAGTCTATCAATACATACATGTGTGACAGTCTATCTATACATACATGTGTGTCAGTCTATCTATACATACATGTGTGTCAATTTATCTATACATACATGTGTGTCAGTCTATCTATACATACATGTGTAGTAGTTTATCTATACATACATGTGTCACAGTTTACCTGTACATGTGTGACGGTTTATGTATACATACATGTGTGACAGTCTATACATACATGTGTGTCAATCTATCAATACATACATGTGTGACAGTTTACCTATACATACATGTGTGACAGTTTACCTATACATACATGTGTAGTAGTTTTTCTATACATACATGTGTTACAGTTTATCTATACATACATGTGTGACAGTTTATCTATACATACATGTTTGACGGTTTATCTATACATACATGTGTATCAGTTTATCTATACATACATGTGTGACACTCTATCTATATATACATGTGTGACAGTTTATCTATACATACATGTTTGACGGTTTATCTATACATACATGTGTGACGGTTTATCTATACATACATGTGTGACAGTTTATCTATACATACATGTGTGACAGTTTATGTACATACATGTGTGTCAGTTTATCTATACATACATGTGTGACAGTTTATCTATACATACATGTGTGTCAGTTTATCTATACATACATGTGTGACGGTTTATCTATACATACATGTGTGACAGTTTATCTATACATACATGTGTGACAGTTTACCTGTACATACATGTGTGTCAGTTTATCTATACATACATGTGTGACAGTTTATCTATACATACATGTGTGTCAGTTTATCTATGCATACACCTGTATCAGTTTATCTATGCATACACCTGTATCAGTTTATCTATACATTCATGTGTAGCAATTTATCTATAAATACATGTGTGACAGTTTATCTATACATACATCTGTATCAGTTTATCTATGCATACACCTGTATCAGTTTATCTATGCATACATGTGTAGCAATTTATCTATAAATACATGTGTGACAGTCTATCTATACATACATCTGTATCTGTTTATTTATACATACACCTGTATCAGTTTATCTATACATACATGTGTGACAGTCTATCTATACATACATGTGTGACAGTTTATCTATACATACCTGTGTGACAGTTTACCTGTACATACATGTGTAGTAGTTTATCTATACATACATGTGTGTCAGTTTATCTATACAAACATGTGTGACAGTTTATCTATACATACATGTGTCACAGTTTACCTGTAAATGTGTGACGGTTTATGTATACATACATGTGTGACAGTCTATACATACATGTGTATCAGTTTATCTATACATACATGTGTGACAGTTTATCTATACATACATGTTTGACGGTTTATCTATACATACATGTGTGACAGTTTATCTATACATACATGTGTGTCAGTTTATCTATACATACATGTGTGTCAGTTTACCTATACATACATGTGTGACAGTTTACCTATACATACATGTGTAGTAGTTTTTCTATACATACATGTGTTACAGTTTATCTATACATACATGTGTGACAGTTTATCTATACATACATGTTTGACGGTTTATCTATACATACATGTGTATCAGTTTATCTATACATACATGTGTGACACTCTATCTATATATACATGTGTGACAGTTTATCTATACATACATGTTTGACGGTTTATCTATACATACATGTGTGACGGTTTATCTATACATACATGTGTGACAGTTTATCTATACATACATGTGTGACAGTTTACCTGTACATACATGTGTGTCAGTTTATCTATACATACATGTGTGACAGTTTATCTATACATACATGTGTGTCAGTTTATCTATACATACATGTGTGACGGTTTATCTATACATACATGTGTGACAGTTTATCTATACATACATGTGTGACAGTTTACCTGTACATACATGTGTGTCAGTTTATCTATACATACATGTGTGACAGTTTATCTATACATACATGTGTGTCAGTTTATCTATGCATACACCTGTATCAGTTTATCTATGCATACACCTGTATCAGTTTATCTATACATTCATGTGTAGCAATTTATCTATAAATACATGTGTGACAGTTTATCTATACATACATCTGTATCAGTTTATCTATGCATACACCTGTATCAGTTTATCTATGCATACATGTGTAGCAATTTATCTATAAATACATGTGTGACAGTCTATCTATACATACATCTGTATCTGTGTAGTTATACATACACCTGTATCAGTTTATCTATACATACATGTGTGACAGTCTATCTATACATACATGTGTGACAGTTTATCTATACATACCTGTGTGACAGTTTACCTGTACATACATGTGTAGTAGTTTATCTATACATACATGTGTGTCAGTTTATCTATACAAACATGTGTGACAGTTTATCTATACATACATGTGTCACAGTTTACCTGTAAATGTGTGACGGTTTATGTATACATACATGTGTGACAGTCTATACATACATGTGTGACAGTTTATCTATACATACATGTGTGTCAGTTTATCTATAAATACATGTGTGACAGTTTATCTATACATACATGTGTGACGGTTTATCTATACATACATGTGTGACAGTTTATCTATACATACATGTGTAGTAGTTTTTCTATACATACATGTGTGACAGTTGATCTATACATACATGTGTGACAGTTTATCTATACATACATGTGTGACATTTTATCTATACATACATGTGTATCAATTTATCTATACATACATCTGTAGCAATACATTCATCTAGTAGTTTATCTATACATAGATGTGTGACGGTTTATTTGTACATACACCTGTATCAGTTTATCTATACATACATGTGTATCAGTTTATCTATACATACATGTGTGACAGTTTATCTATACATACATGTTTGACGGTTTATCTATACATACATGTGTGACAGTTTATCTATACACACATGTGTGACAGTTTATCTATAAATACATGTGTGAGAGTTTATCTATACATACATGTGTGTCAGTTTATCTATACATACATGTGTGTCAGTTTATCTATACATATATGTGTAGTAGTTTATCTATACATACATGTGTAGTAGTTTATCTATACATACATGTGTAGTAGTTTATCTATACATACATGTGTAGTAGTTTATCTATACATACACCTGTATCAGTTTATCTTCTATACATACATGTGTGACGGTTTATCTATACATACATGTGTGACGGTTTATCTATACATACATGTGTGACAGTTTACCTGTACATACATGTGTGTCAGTTTATCTATACATGCATGTGTGACAGTTTATCTATACATTTGTAGCATTTTTAGTATACATACATTTGTAGCAGTTTTTCCTATACCTACATCTATAGTATTTTTTCTATATATCTATCACAGCCATTAGGCTTCTTTAACAGCTTGATAAGGTTAGAACCGACCTATTTATAGATCATGGACTTTATTTGTAATCCCGAGGTCGTTAATACAATGAGATCTTTCAGGTGTGCTGCAGGGTAATTTTATGTATGACGACGCTCCATTTAATAGGATATATGTACCAGGACGCTTTCAGCCTGTAGGCAGTGTTTTTATAAACATTCAGTGAGACATGGCTAAGCACACCGGATCATGTGTGTTACTTACTCAACAGTGCCCGTGTAGAGTTTAACGTGGTTGAAATATGGTGAACGAAGTTTATCTTGGTTGAATCAAGGTGAACGCAGTTTAACTTGGTTGAAACATTGCGAAAAGTGTTAAATTTGGTTGAAATATGGTGAACGGTGTTTAGCTAAATTGCAGTGTTTATAAAGACCAAAATGGCACACAGGAAGGTTCAGTTGAGGCAGAAGAGGACAAACAAGAGGGATCGTTGTGTAAGTATATGCAATTATTCTATACTTTTGTTTGATACATAAAATAGTTTTCGTGTAAGCTATAAAATATATCTGTTTGATTGGGTGAAGGAAACCAATCATTTATGATCAAAAAGGTAGTATCGGCACTTCGATCTAAGACTTATGTGAGAATGGCCTTGTGAACATATACTGTGATTTGGCAGATTTATCTGTCTAAAAAGGTTTATGGTAAAGAAGAAAATAAATCCTTTCAGCAAAGCCACCATTCAACTACCTTAATAAATTTACTTCAATGGCGTTTTTACGTATACGATAAGGTTGAATGTAAGAAAGCAGACACGGTGATATTATGCAAACGAGACACCAAGATATTCAAATTTACTATCAGGTGAAATTCACAATGTGATATGCATATCAAGCACAGGTATTGGGATCGTGGGAGAAGTGATTTACATATCGTACACTCGCCAAACAGCAGGATCGTGTTATTCAGGAGATAAATAAATTGTGACCTCACACTACCACACGTGTGTACCCGAAAACGAACTCCTCTTGTTTAATCTGATTTTGTCTTTATCGGTCGATATTTTATGTCATTTCATTGCTTTGTGCCGATGCTATAACTTTTATCTGTGTGTGTCGATACCATGGTATATATATCGTCTGAAAGTTTGTGGTTTCCATTGTCGTGTGTAGGCGCTGTGGTATAAATATATAAGTTGACCTTTTGACCTAACACGGTGTAGTACACCCTGTGATACGTTGAAATAGGTGGGTTAGCCGCTTTTTTCAAAACACTGTGATATTTTGGCTCCTACAGATTAAATAATATTTATATTATATGGAATATTTTCCCTGCTTGTTAAAGATGATTTTGCGATGTATTAGCGTGACACTTGGAGCTTTTGTCATTTTTATTTATTTTAAGTTGACGCTTCGATCTAAGTTGTCCCCCTTATCTGTAGCTATATTTAACCAAATGCAAGGGAAAATGTGTCCCCGTTCTTACCCTCGTGTGCTTTGGCTCTGTCACAAATTGTCCACGCATAAATGATGAAGGTTTGGGTACTCGGTGTCTCGTAAAGCAAGTTATAGCTGGCGATGCTCAGAATTTTTATTTCATTATGTATGCTATGGTGTAAAATTTTGTGTGAAACTTTAATAAAATGTTTTATAATTAAAACCGCACAAACATGATGTACACAATTTTAACAAAACCACTCATCTATGTGACACTATACACAGATGTCTGGAATGTGTGCTGCAATTCACATGAAGGGAACTGGTTGTCACTTCTGTTATGGTTCGGTGGTTTTCACTATATTATTATTATTATTATTGTTATTATTATTGTTATTATTATTGTTATTGTTATTGTTATTTTGGTTACAGACAGTTTATCCATTTCTCTTACCTTTGAGCCCTTAATTCGAAAGTTCTCACAACATGAACGATATCTTTGTTTGTTTGTTTCGAATGATCATTTGACGATGAGGTTTCTGAATTCTTGACCTATCGTATAACAAGGGTCACCATTCAACACCTGTCGTTTATTTTGCTATCTGGGTCAAACAGCGTCATGGTACAGTGTTTCTGCTGTTGCCTGACTATAAAACATTATATTGTTATTTTGTCTCACCAACATCTCCGTCATGCCACTACCTTGTCATGGATACTGTGATTGTTTACAACCACATACCGTAATATGATTCTACGTTATACAATATATAGTGACATACCTGACCTACAATGTAGCGAAGTCATACCTTTGTTATTATAAACAGGGTTTTTTTCAAGTCAGTCTGATAAATATAGGATTTTACAATCGTGTCAGGATAATCTGTAATTTAAACTGGTACCTCAAATTTCAATACCTCAATCGTGTGAAGGAAAGTTATATTTATTAAATTGTTCAACGAATCAAACACCTTTTTACATATAGTTGCATTCACAGGAATTTAAGAATCTATTCATCACAGTTTCCGCATAGTGTACGTCCGTAACCAAAGTGAACTGCAAACTTACATCTTTTAGCGATAACATGAGTGACTGCGTGAAATATTTCAATATAGTTTATTGATTTTTGTGAACAAGTACAGTTCTGCACCTTGTTGTTTTGTTTACTTCGATTGGTTTCGACCATTGTGCAAATTCCATTCATCATTGGCAATTTGGCAATTAATGAAAGTACCTTAAAATCTTATTGCGTCTAAAAAAATAAATTCAGTCTACAGCATTCTATGATATTAAAAACACCGACAAAACAATATAGTGATTTGGTAACCAACAGTTTATGATCCATCGCCAGACCATAACAGGGTCATCTTCATGCAGTTAGTCTCCATGACAACAAACTATCGTTCTACCTCACAAGACACACCAAGCAATCTGCTTTGCTGCGTGTCTATAGAGATATTGCTGTCGCTTTGGATAACACGTGAAGACAGGTATTTAACGTGTATTACGTCATTGACTATGCGGTGCTTTACAAATGTCTTGATTGCTGTTTCGTGAACATTGGTGATGCACTTTGTGTAACAACATCTAAGATTTCCGGTTTCAACAAGGGCCGTCAGAGACGGGTTATGCACCCCGAATGGGACAAGATTTAAGTATGAAAAAAAACCCAAAAACAAAACAAAAAAGGCGATAACCCCCAAAAGCATTCAAAAGAGAGTGATGGTTCTTGTGCACTGCGCTTTTCCTTGTTGAGGTTTATACCGATACCTCAAACATTTTGTGTTATGCTCCTGGCAAAATAATGATGGACAAACGGACGGACGGACGGACAAAGCGGCTACTATATGCTTCGGGGAACGTATTAAAAGTCGGTGCTGGTATCACGAAAATATACTGAAGGAAACTGATTAGGAAAGTTATCATCGTTATGGCGATTACACTAAAATATGCATGTTTCTTATACAAGACAACTGGGAACCTACATCAAAGAGTCTCAAAGCTTGTCAGATTATCTCATACTTCATACAGGCATTCCTCTTTTTGGTGAAAGGAATCTGTCATTTCCTTTCCCTAAGTACGGAAATACTGCTGCTCATAACTGGTGAAATGTACATGTAACGCCATCATTTTATCTAGCGTAGCCAGGGTTCTGTTGTCGTATGCCTTGTTCTCATTTGAGAACGTGACATTACTTGCTTGGATTGACCAAAATTCACATGACGGGTGTCATCGATGAAGCAGAAGACGCCTACTCTTCCGGAACACCTGGTCTTATTCTCCCTGTGCTTTTTCAGGATTATCCGTGTAAATCTTTCTTTTGTTCATATTTCGTCCTGATTGTATGGAATTTGAATTTGAATTATGATTATAGTGCTATGTTGGTATTTTCTTGATTTTTTTCTTTTTTTTTCACAATGTTCAAATTTCGATGCACATTTCATGGGATATTTGATGATGAGGTTTTCCAATAATTTACAGTTTTTTTACTTTTTCTAAGTACGTGAGAAAAATGTTCAAACTTGGGCTTGTTCTGTTTTCAGGGATGAGTCAAACCTCGTGTAAGATTCTGTTTATCATCAATTCCTGAAAAGCAAAGCCTTTCAACATAAGACTTGTTGCTCAATCTACCGAGAAGCTTCCAGGTTTAAACACTGTCATAGTGAAACTGGTTAACGTAACTACAAAATCATGTTTACAACAACATGCAGTACTATGATTCTACAATATACAATGATACAGCAAAAAGCAAAAATGTTTATGAATAATGCGCCAGCTATTTGAGGGATATCACCCGAAAACAACATGTAAAGCGTTAGAAAGATTTACACACAGGTATACAGGTAAATACAAGGTGATACAGACTTTGTACCAGGAAGAGTAGACACCGTCTGCTTAATGGATTACACCCGTAATTTAAATTCATTGAACCATGTCATTGCCAATAGTAGAACTGGGGTCCTGATTTGTGTGTCTCGCGCTTCTAGGACTCGACTAAATCTTGTGTTGTCTTAATGTGATATGTCGGTGATACTGGGGGTCTAAAATGTGTGTTTCACCCTTCTAAGACTTGTCAATGATATTGGTAGCCGAAATTGAGATTCGTCCTTCTAAGACTCGACAGTGATGGTAGTGGGGTGGGGTGGGGCTTAAATTGCGTTTCGTCCTAATAGGACCTCTTCATGGTCCTGGTGGCCTGAATTGTGTGTTTCGCTTTTCTGATGCTGGAAACTTACAATATTGAAGAGGAGGAGGCGAACATTTCCTACAGAAATGTATATCTATAGTATATGGATGTGAATAAAGCTCATACTTTGATACAAAAAAAATCATTTTTGGTATCGACTCATGTTCTGATGTTAAAAAAGAGCAAATTAACATGTAAATTTTAAACCGTGATTCTTTTCGAATACATCTTATCGTGGTATGCTGATTCCCAGTCTCAATTGTGAATGTGGGAATGGAAACGACCTCATACGACATTTGTCAGTTATTGTGTTGTTATCTGCATAGAAATAAGGAATGCGGATAGCATGGGACATTAAGTGCACGGGGAAATGAAGGATAATATATATACAAAAAAAGTTTTAAAACGATGTTAATTAAGATACATTGTACGGCCAGGGGCTGTGAACGCAATGTCCGCTTTCCTCTTGAAGTATTAACCGCAAGAAGTGTGCAGAGAGAACATTTACGTCATGAGAATACAAATTTGAAATAGTATCAGCAGGAATCCTGAATCACCTTTATGTGCAGGGGCGTAGCTTCCATAGATAGAAAAAGCCCGGGCTTACACATAAAAAATCCGTGCATAGAGTATGTCGGACAAAATTGCAAAACTAATTTTGAAAATAAATATCTAATATTTTTGATAAATAAAAAAATATAGATAGAAAATTGTTGAATAACTAGGCCTAGCGCATTGCTTTCCGGAACTTTATACACGTCATGCTATTCTACTTCTTACTATCATTTCAACGTTTCCGATTATAATGTTGTTAAAGTGCAAATTTCCAAAATGAAGAAGGCTTCTGGATTACAGACGTCGATCGACAAGTTTTTCAAACAGAATAAAGTCTTTTATTTAGTCAGGGGCTGAAGTTTGTTGTTAAATAAATAAAAAAAACTGTCTCAAAAAACGATTCAAAACATCTTTGAAATCATGAAATTCATTTTCCGTCGGGGGGATTCGCCTCCCTAATCCCCCACCAGGGCCCTGGCCTAGGCGGCCCCCAGACCGCTCGCCTGGGCTTACACATTTTTGCAGGGCTAGTTATGCCCCTGATGTGAATAAGAGTTTCAGCTTTCAAAAACTTTGTCACATTGCAATAGTATCACGTTTTCATCAATAAACTCAGGGCATTGACAACAAAAAGCAAGAAGCACTGTAATAGGTCTAAAAGTGTTATCGGCATATTTGTTCCACAAAAACAACAGGGGAATACAAACGCTTGAAAATAATCATAATCCAAACGAAAATTTAATAATACTGTGTCAAAATGTAAACAAAATCAATATTTAGACGAAAGTTCCTAAAAATGTACAATGAGAATAAGAACAGGTGGTTCCTAAAGAGAAAGCGTCCTCTTCTTCGTCCAGGACACCTGCCATGCAAGTTTTGGTTAATTCCAGTAAGTAATATCATGGTCTTATACGGTTCTTAGTTCTAAAATAATCCCCTACAACAGATATAAAAACACTCAGTGTTTTCCACCATGATATTGCAAAAAGAATACACTGATTCTGGAAACTCATAAGCAACTACTTACTATCTTTCTAGTTGAGCAGTATATTGCTTTTGGTATTACCATTATTACATATTACATTTCTGTTTCTAACTTTTGTTAATTTTTTTTGTGGTACTAATTTTCTCGGTGTGATATTACAGAGGTACATTATTTTTTGTGTGCTGCTGATGTTGCAGGTTTCTATGGGAGGAAGGATTGAACTTTATGAATCAGAAGATTTCCAAGGTAACCAACTAGCAACAGGAGACGACTGTAAATGTCTCCAAAAAAAAGGCTTGGAGGACGTCCGTTCAGTCAAGGTCATCGGCAAGGACGTGTAAGTTTCTCACGAGGCAGGAAATCCTACTGCAAAAACATTTTTTCTCGTGGGGATTTATTTTCGTTGATTTCAGGGGGTGTGGTTGGTCTCTTACTGCGGATGCATATGCTAATAAACCGGTGAAATTAGTTTTATAATATCCATAGGGCTGTTTTTTTTGCCATGAAATATTAAAAAGAAAAATGAAATCCCGCGCAAATACATGATTTTACAGAAGATTACTTATTTGTAATTTCTGAGTAATATCAATCGTTATATAATTATATACGTTATAGCTAGACTATTACAAATGACTCATGAATTTCTTTCAAAAACCTTTTTTCTGTACAAGTTTTTAAACAACGGCTTGAGCCTGTAGTTAATACAAGTATAGGTCACAGTAGTGATTATCTTTTTTATAAAATTTAAACTTTTAAAAACCTATGGTTACATTCTCGATCAAATGTAATTAATATTATTTGATTAATTAAAAACATAACAATTAAACGTTGGACAAATTGTATTTATTGTCGTTAGGAATGCAATGTTGAAGACGGATAAATAGACAGATATGGTTATGTATATGTTTCGAGTATTATCTAAAACTTTTCAATGTCTTTTTTTTTTTCATTACATTTTCTATCTCTCTGTATGAATACATATTGGAAAAAGCCTTTTTGAAAATCATAGTCAGTTAAGTGATTAACGTAAAGCTATAATGCATTTTATCTGAGGCGTCGTGCAAAGCGTCTACGTAACGTTGGTCAGAATGCCCAAATGCCGTCATATTATTGTCATTTCGTCCATACCATATTTTTACTCCGGAGTTAATGGGAGGTCATCATGCAAAACGTAAACATGTATGATGTATTAATCTGAAAACAAATCGTACTGATGTGTATAAGACGATCGGCAAAGCGGTAGCAGAATAAAAATATACATTGACTCATCATGTCCGACCGACACTTTAGTGAGTGTGGAAAGTAAACACCGGACTTCCGGAACATGCACATACTGGTTCTCAAGCCGTACTTGTATTGTTGAATCTGTCTGAATAGGAAAAACGCAAGTGCGATTTTGTGGTGTAAAACCCACTTTGTTGTTATAGTTACCGTAAAGATGTACGATGTCAATCAATTAGTATGATGTTTTATGATACAGAAATATTTGTGGAGAACCACAAAGCTGTTTGTCAGTTTACACGGTAAACAATGAAAACGGCCTAGACATCCGTATATCAAAGTTTTAAATGTCATTTCGTTCTCAAAAAACAAAAGCAAATAGAAATAAAAGCAAATATGTCCTATCGAATTTTTCATTGTGATTTAATGATACTTAAAACTTTGATTATTCATAATGAATCAAATTTCTTCATATCAGTCACACTAAAAAACAACTTAGGTCAATTCATGGGAGATAACTCGAATAAAAGTGATTTCTCTTGCGAAAGACTTTGTTGTGCACGCTACAAGATCACAAGCATGGATGTTATTATCTTGAAAAGAAATTTAAGTACAAGGAAATCGTTATGCTTGATATACAGTTGGTGGAAGGCTGTCCTCAAAGTAAGGGGTCGGTATATAATCATCTGTATTGTCATTGATTTCTAATTTACATGGCCAACAACTGTTTTGTTATTTAAACGAAGGCATCAGCAATACATAAAAGGTATTTAGAAGAATTTGGGAATGTGTCCTGTTCTGAGTAGTCATTCGATAAACTCAATATCGTATGAAAGCAAAAACTGGTCAGCCAAGACGAACGTGTTTTTTATAGACTCATCAAATGACTGTTGAAAGAGCTAACCAACATTCTCTAAGACATATTGTCACCTAGAAATTCGATACTATCAGGATTCAATCCTTTGTATTTTTCTTCTCTGTTTTAGAGGTCCTATTCACGAATCACATTCTAGTATAGTTCCCCTATGTGTAGGAATAAGGGTTTCATAACCAGAGCAGGAAGGTGTAGATTTAAATGCGTCAAGGTGTGCACAAAGACCACAAAAAATATACGTTTCTATGTCAATTTCAAGGATCAATAAACCATGACAACATATACTCAAGCGTCTATAGAAAGGACAAAATAGACCAATCTATTCACATCTTAGGACAAAACATCACCGTAGTTGAAATTTAGCTTATCAAACCACTAAAAAGCCTATTGCTTGTTTGATGGATTTAACGTCCAGTAAACAGCCATGTTAGCGCAGACCAGTCGTTTTTTTCTGATCTTCTTGAGTAACATAAAACGCTCAGATGTCCAACTGAGATTATGTAGCCCTGTTATGGAGACGTCCCCCACCCACCCACCCCCCCACCCCCCCCCCCCCCCCAAAAAAAAAAAAAAAAAAAAAAAAAACAAAAAACAAAAAAAAAAAAAAACCTTTGAAGCGACACTTGATTTGTTGCTACAATCTGATAAATAATACCATCTATAAGGGTGAATGTATCGTGTTGTTTTTAAGTGAAATATTATCATTATTTGTAGATGGGGATTTTATAAAGGTAGCAATTTCCGGGAGCGTAGTTTTGAACTGGAAGAAGGGGATTACCCTAACCTCAGGACAATTAAGGACAAAGATGACGTCATATCTTCTGTCAGACCGTTATGGTAAGTAGAGAGGAAACTTACTGAAATATTAGATGAATAATTTCGTTGCAAAATAAAAGACAAACAACGATATTGTAAACCGGCATCGTTTTGCCTTATCGAATTTATTAGGATGGTAGTTTTGTCTGCAAACACTCTAAAGATTTATCTATCTGTGGTATCATTTAGTCGCGATGCAAGTGACAGAGCCTTTCCTAGGGTTTATTATAGTGTTCAAAGCATATTCGATGAAGTTGTGGCTAACATTAATAAGTTAACCTATATCAAATCAAAAGTGCATTTTACACCTTCAACAATAGCAGAGACATGAGTGTACAAATAACAATTTCTAATCTGAAATGGTGACAGCATTTACATCAATTTTACAGCAAGACGGTGATACCTATACACACGAAACTTCAAATTTCACAATCGTTCAGTCTGCACTCAAGATCACAATTGCCTTTAAAGGGGAAAAAACTGATATTGCAAGCGAGTGATGGAAGAAAGATAATTTGAGTTTTCATGGTAATTGAATAAGTCACGTTTCCAATTTCATTTGCACTACAAATAGAAACTTACATTTTGAATAATATAATTATTTCCTTCAAGATCAGACTTTAAAAACTTTGCCCATGTGACTTTTTACCTTTGTCACGTAACTAGTGCAGTACATGTATACGCATGTAAAAAGAAACTTAATGATATTTATCAGCTTTTCAATACTTCTCACTTAAGGATGGAGATATCGGAGCGAAATTTCTTACCCCATGGCGATATGTACAATCAACAATACGCCGCCCTGGCGGCTTGGTTTCTGGGACCAAAGGGAGAGAACAAAGATATATTTGCAGACCTAGCCAAAGAGGCTGTTGCTGCTCATATAGACTTTCGGACGAACTATTACCCCACCGACAAACCGTACATCACTGAAGACATTAAGGCAGCGCGTGCTTACCGAGACGAGGTCAAAGAGCTTAGAAACGAATTAATGAAGATGACAGAGGAATTGAAAGAGTGTACACCAAACCATAGTCTCCGCTATGAGGTAAGAGACGGCAATACCCCAATATATACATGTATACAAGGATAACAGAGATCACAGAGGTTAGTTAATTAAGGATTAACCTTTGATTTTGTTTAGTTTATCAGCTCATAAATGGAATGGAGAACGAGGTAAATTTAGCGTAAACGCTTCTCATAAACTAAACAAAATCAAAGGTTAATGCTTATATTTACAATATTTTCTTTTTACTTTAAAATTAATGAAAATTCAGATATATGAAATTAATCGTAGATGTAGGCGTTTGTAGGTATCTGGACGTAATCTCCATCTTAAACGGAACAGCCATTGACAAAGCCGTTGAGAGACAGCTAAGCCCCGCCCTTTTTCTCGTAAACAATAACAGAAAATAGTTCCTGAATTTCAAACATATCTATTTCAGTTAAACAACTTTGTTTTATATTTTAAAACATTTACATAAATTCATATCATCTTTTTTGATAGATAATCAGTCAGTATTATATGACTCGGCGGGTTTTAAGAAATTATCCGATTGCGAATGGAATACACTATACATGTGTGACGCGGTCAACGGCGCGAACATGCGCGGTGATGAGGCTCACGTTCCAGACTAAAGTTATTGGGTTATAAACTGTAGTGTCTCCTGGTTAGTTTATAGAGGAGCAAACAGTGGAAATTGTAAATATTACGATATATTAAACTAGTAGATGCAGCAGTACCAAAGTTATATTGCAACATCAACCGACAGATTATTCAGGTGGGTAACTAACTATTCAATGTGTTTCTGATATATCTACAAGTGTCCAACCTATAAATTAATGTCTAAAAAGGGAAATATACTAAGTTATATTCTTACATATTTAGAAAATAAATAAACCCTATCCCACACTTACTCATTAGTCATTTCTAAATTTTTATCAACCACGCTAGCATCTCATATTCGTGCGATAGAACCGCACAACGTGCGCACAAATGTGCGATAGTTCATTTCGTTCAATTTTTCTATGTGTGCAAATCGTGCACATATCGTGCACACATCACTGAATTTTTAACGTTGTGCGATTACGCAACTGTAATATTCATTGTGTCTCAAAGCAATGAAACACAAGTTAAATTAGAAGCTTTAATCTTCCTCATATTGTCGCCTGCACACATATTTGTATCAAAAGTTTGTCATCAATTTTGTTTCATGGGTATTATAGGTAATAAATCAAGAGAGGTTCCGCAAAACAAAGTGCTTCACTCGGGCTAAAGCTCGATATGAAACACTTAAATTTTGAATAAAAATGTGTCACCATTCATAGTAAATACACTATTGTTAAAACGAGATTCAGTGGTTATTTAAAATTGCAGGGTCATATGTTGTGGGATACTGCAATGCCTGCTAATCTGGGATATATCGCGGCATTGCTTTACAACTCCAACAACGTCACGAGGGAGGCTAGTCCTGTGACCACAAGCATGGAAGTACAAGTCGGAAAACAGATCTGTGAAATGCTCGGGTACAGTTTTGGACAGAAACCGGAACCGTGGGGTCACCTCACTTGTGGGGGTAGCGTAGCTAATATCGAAGCCACGTGGGCTGCACGCAACGTCAAATATTATCCAATTGCAATTCAAAAAGCTGTTATGACTGAACTAGAGTTGCAAGACGCGGCGGACTACGAAGTGTTCGTACCGAGGCTTGATACGAAACAAAAGCTGACGGAAGTTTCAACATGGGATTTACTGAACCTGGACATTGATGATATCGTTCGAATTCCAGAAGACATGGCTCGGATTGGGATCTCTGACGATGTTCTCACAGAATGTTTATCTAAATACAGTTTACAAAGTTTGGGATTTTTAAAATTCGCAATAGTGCACGGTCTTACGGAAGCTCCTGTTGTTGTGTCTCCAGCTTCCAACCATTACTCTTGGACTAAAGCAGCGACTTTACTTGGAATAGGCTCAGAAAACCTCATCTCAGTGATGTTTGATAGGAATGCCCGGATGAGTATTGATGGTAAGTGGTTTAGGTTTTAATTTGACTGCCTATATGCAGTGTAATCGTTACAGGGTATCTCGTCAGCACTTCGTTACTCTGACAAGTCCTGTGTATTTCTGTAGACTGATAGTAATTGACAAGAATAGTAGAACCGAAATCATATTTACTTTCTAATTATATTCTTTCTAACGAACATCACTCATTTATAACTCAAACTATTTACTGGGATTCCGTCCGCTTGGTTTTAGGACGCACACCATTATTTCGAGCAAGATCCACTGAAAATCCATCTTTCCTCTCACAAATGTATCTGTAGGCACACATTATACTCCGAACCTCCACCAAGGTTACTGGAAAAGTAAGACAAACGAAACCAAGCCACGTTCATTTGATTTCAAAAATTAAGGGTGTTTTAATGGGAAGTCCAATCTTACCGAACGCAGGCGAACAAAGTACGTGTCACCACTGTCGAATGTCTACCTGTCTCACTTGCGCCAGTAACGGCAATTGCAAAACATGCGACTGACTTTTCTATGGACTTGTTTATAATGATAATTTTTTTCATGTCAGTAGAAAAGAAATCCTTGTAACACAACCAGTATAAGATTAGAGTGCGATAAGTTCAAATCTATCTCTATGTTTTTTTTTTTTTTTTGTAATTGTTTTATTTTTCAAGAGCACAACACAATCAAAGAACAAACATAACAATATATCAGATGGATTTGATTATCACTCATCATCACCTATTTGAGAAAAACACACGTCATCATCAGCATTCTCATCACTCTCGATCACACTTTAGCTCATATAATCATCATCATCATCATCATCATCATCATCATCATCATCATCATCATCATGTGATCATCCATCATCATCATCATCATCATCATCATCATCATCATGTGATCATCCATCATCATCATCATCATCATCATCATCATCATCATCATCATCATCATCATCATCATCATGTGATCGTCCATCATCATCATCATCATCATGTGATCATCCATCATCATCATCATCATCATCATCATCATCATCATCATGTGATCGTCCATCATCATCATCATCATCATCATCATCATCATGTGATCGTCCATCATCATCATCATCATCATCATCATCATCATCAACATGTGATCATTCCTTATCATCCATCATCATCATCATCATTACGATCATCATGTGATCATCCATCATCATCATCATCATCGTTACGATCATCATGTGATCATCCATCATCATCATCATCATCATCATCATCATTACGATCATCATGTGATCATCCATCATCATCATCATCATCATCATTTCCACTCAACACCACCATCATCATACATACATACTTTACACCTCATCACTATCATCATTCATAATCCATCATCATCATACACACCTAATATTGTCATTCATCCAAGCCTTACACCATCAGCATATTCTTCATTTTCATTGTGTGTGTCCTATTTTTTTTTTTTTTTTGAAAAGAAAAAGAGAGGGTAAACAAATAAATAAATAAGTAAATAAAGAGAGAGGGAAAGAGAGAGACAAGACAGGATAAAAGTCAATAAAAGGAAAGACAAAGATAAAGATATAGAAAGCGAAATAAAAAGTAGAAACTGACGAGTAAAAAACGGGGAACAAGATAATTTATCTTGGGGTAATTTTCAAAATCTCAAGGAAAGATGCAGATTCAATATTTCTTAAAGAAACGTTCATAATGAAACTGTCAAGGGTATTGGGGAAAGGTTTTAGAAAAAATAAAAAACTATCATCAAAAACACAGAAGAATTATTTATAGAGTAAGAATTTTTTCCCATTTCTTCCATTCATTCTTAAAAAGTTCAAGAGAGTGGTCTCCCTTACCAGTAGCAATATACTTTTTAATATTATGATGATCCTTTATTAGATTTACAAGGGCATTTATGTTCAACTTACTGTTCAAGCATCTAATTTTATAGATATATTGCTTAATGATTATATTAATCTCATTGTCGATTTTACTATACACATTTCTCGCAGAAAAGAAGCCAAACAAAATGGACTCTTTGTTGAGAGTAAAGGGGATAAGTAGTGCCTCTAGAAGAATTTCAAAGCTTTGCAGAAAGTTTTGAACCATTTCACATTCCCAGAAGATATGATTGATAGTTTCTGTTTCAGATTTACAGAAGGTACAGAATGGACTGTCAACTATGCCTGCTTTATAGAGAATAGAGTTTGTTGTTAAAATATAATGCAAAATTCTGTACTGAAACCACTGGAAGTTAGAATTATTTGTTATTTTAAAAGGTAAGGTAAAGATATTAGCCCAGATATGATCTTCAAAATCGAATTGTTTGGCCCACTTTTTCCTTCCAGTGGGAATTTCATTGTTTTCCACAAAACATTGATACAAATCTTTAGTGCCCTTTAATTTAGAGAAGAAAGGTTCTATGCTACAAGGGATAAATGGCAAACAGAAATCAGAGTCTAAAATTCTCTGCAAGTCAATATTATTCCGAATAGAGTTTAACAGCCCTTGAAATCTAAGAAAGTTTGTTTTTAACCCATATTTCTCAATAAATTCATTAAAAGAATAAAAAGTAATTGTACTTTTATCTTTAATCATATCATTTACCACCCTTATTCCCTTAGTGAACCAATCTTTATAAAAAACAGATTTCCCACCAATAGTCAGCTGTGGATTATACCATAGAGGAGTTTTAAGAGGAGACTGCTGTCTACCTTTCTCTTTAGACTTCAATATCAATAATTGCTCCCATGCCTTAAAAACATCACACCAAAACTTATTTTTACATTTTTCTTTACAAATCTTAAAATAATCACTTCCACAATTCATAGCTATGTCATTATTTAACAATCTAGAAAATAAAATTTTCCACTTGCTCGTAGATGGACTTAAAAATCTCCGGAGCCAACCTAATTTCAGTGCGCTAATAAAGGCTTGAATGTTAATCATCTTTAAACCACCTTCAGAAAAATTCTTGGTGATGATATTTCTTTTCACCTTATCAGTTTCTCTATGTTTTTTTATTGTTCAGACTTAAAACGGATCTTGAGTGGTTTACTGACGAGGCAAGTGCCCGTCATTGCTGTTGTCGTTGTCATCGGTACGACGGAACACGGAGCAGTTGACCCTCTAGCTAAGGTCGTCAACCTGCGCAAAGAGTTTCGGGAAAAGGTAACGGGATTAATTTTCACAAATTATTACACCACAGAAGACATCTTTCTTATACGTCGGTTAAATCCTACTGTAAAGAAACAAATCAAAGCTTAATACTATGTAAAATATAATTTAGCAATACAACGTAAATATACAGCGAAGTACGTCGATTTCGATTCAGGTATTGCAGACCTGGTTAGGCATTTACCACACATCGAAGCATAAAACTAAAACGAGCATTTAAACTATTAACTTAAAAGAGACAGGTAATGGAAATCTGATTCAAAATATTGCTGGTTTTAAATTTTGGAAGATCGATACCAACATCCATGTTTTTAAGGTTTTGTGAGCAAATACGGTACATAAATATGGTATTATGTGTATGTACAGATTCCAAAAAAAAAAAAATGGTTGTAAATCCAATTATGAAGTTTTTAACACCATATACACCATATGTAACATATCATTTACGAAATGTCAATTTCGCTGTATCATGTACTTCCGCTTGCAGGGTTTGAATTTCTGTGTGTGCGCAGACGGAGCGTGGGGAGGTTATTTTACATCTATGCTTCATTCCAAAAGTACTTCCCGGGCTACAGTGATAAAAGATCACGGCGGATACATCCCGATGTTTCCTCTCAGCCCCTACACCCGGAAACAGCTTCTCCATCTTAAATACGCTGACACTATCACTCTGGATCCCCACAAATCCGGCTACTGTCCATATCCTGCCGGTGGTCTATGCTACAGGTAACTATGTCCGGTGTATGTGATATGGTATCTTATTCTGTAACAAAAAAAATCAGTTTTGAATATAATGAAGTGTATATGGTTAAAGGTAGTCGCCCCTTTCTCCTCAAGGGATCTACCATAACTGTGCTGGCGGAACGTAAGACTAAGTACCTTTATATAAAGATCTGATATGCATGGTTCGACGATCCCGGTGTTTCTCAAGAAGCTGAGAAACGGACCGATCCGAGTTGTCGTGAGTGTAACTTTTAAGCTGGACACGATTTACCTAAATCGTTCTGGATGATATGTTTTAGTGACGTATCCACCAGCTACAACAAGGTGATATCAAAATAACCCTGATTGTCCGCGGGATGATAAACAAAATAACTTTATTTCCACAATAAAGATCAGGTATTAGGATTTTCGATAAATTTCCTGACATATTTTAATGAGATGCCGAGAAATATTATCAGGTGCAAAATGTAATCTTCATGAAAATGAAACTGCATTTTTTCTGTGATTGTGACGCTTTAAGATTAGACCAAATTAATGTTATGGCGACGATTATTACTGTTACACAGAAATGGCGCTATGAGAGGATTTGTTCAGATAGCAGCTTCTGTTATATACCAGAACGAAGACGAACCGGATGTTGGGATGTACGGAGTTGAGGGGTCTAAACCCGGAGCAGCAGCTGCAGGAGTGTTATTGGCCCACAGGGTCTGTTGAAAAAAATCGTTTTCAAGTTTTGAATATAATTTATCTCAGAAATTAAGGAAGTATTCCACGCAATTTTAAAACAATGGCCTTTAAAGATATGCAAATTGGTGCGAACATCTTTCGAAGGCATTGTTCGCTTCAAGTAAATGCGTGTTTGCATAACAGAGACAGATTTACATAATTGTATAAATGCGTATGAATTATATCTATAATGACTGTATGATGTGTGGATATGAAAAAAAAAGAAAACGGAAAAAGAAAACTGGTAGAAGATGCAAGATATATTTTTATACTTTGAATTTTGGTCAATTGCCACATAAATCATATGTTTAATTTGCTAAATTAAACAGTATTGTAAAGGTTTTGTAAACAATAATATAAGACTTGATTTAAATATTCTTCTACAAAACAATTAAACTGTTGATTACCGGGATTATCTTAGGTCATCGGCCTTGACATGTATGGTTATGGAAGGATATTAGGGCAATGCATGATGGGAGCAAAACTTTTCTACTGCGCATGGCTGACTGTAGCCAATGACGATGACAACTTCGTCTGCATTCCCATGAAACCTCTGCCAAAGGAGGAGGATTCAGGGATACCAATGTTTTCCTTTAAAAAAGACCGAGCTTTGACAGAAGCTAGGCGATTCATTAACGAAAACATTAAGGGCAAAAGTAATGAGGAACTGAAAAAGGTAAGTTAATTTGAGTTTAGTTGAGATTAGCAAAAATTGTGTACCAAGGAATCCATCCTTGATTCTCCATCAGTCGCTCTTTGCACCCCTGGAACATGTCATGGCAGAATTAAGGCACAATTAAAGAAATTTGATTGGTTCCAATAGAAGGAAATCTTACCCTTTGAAGACTTCAGAGGAGCGACTTCAAAGCAAATGCAATATACCGTTATGCGACCTCGATTTACTTTTGATTTACACCAAATGATCAAACTAGTCTTTTCGTCTTGTCCACAAGGTGTTGCAGATGGAACCTTCAATTTTGCTATGACATGTTTCAGGCGTGCAGAGAGCGAACGTGATCGTAACTCCTGGAGTATCGAGGATGAAAGGAACCTTGCTACACATCAATATCATATTAAGATTTGATTCTATTTTTGAGAAACAGAAAAGCGATATGCAAGCGAGTGGGTTTATTATAAAACCTTTCATGAATGCAATGTGTGCATCACTAAAATTGATTGAAAGTGATACCTAGAAAATACAAATTTTAGAATTCTGCATATAGAGACTAACACAAAATATTGCCGTCATGTTTTCAGTCATTACTATCGACATCAAAGAACATGTTAAAGTTTCTCGCCTTTTTTCTGAATGGGGGTTGGTTTAGAGTTTGTTTTCATTAAAAATCATTTGGTAACATAACGTTTTTATATTCGTGAATTTGTATGCTCTTAAATGGACACGACATAATATCCTTTATGATCAAGGTCTATGTAATGTGTTCATGTGTTCTAAAGCCATCTTTTGGTGCGTGTGGTAAATCTGTTTTATAGGACCGTGACGTAATGACTTTCCTGAGTGACATAGGATCTGATGCTTTGATCAACGCCTTTGCCGTCAACATCCGAGGAAATACTAAAATTGACATAACTAACAGACTCAACTCGACATTGTTCGACAAATTATCACACACCAGTGTAAGCAAGAAAGCTGTGAAGCGAATACCTCTGATACTTACCAAGTCTGAACTGAAGCATTCTGGAAAGGACAAAGCTGCTTCACAGTTTAAGCGGAGATTAGGGGTAAGATAAATGTATACCTGGTGTAGTCTGTAGAATGTCTTTACCAACCTGATGAAAATGTAACAAAATAATGATGTGGTCTGTAGTTCCTCATACATATAGCATATTTGCCACTATTTGGTGATATAGTTGTGACATTTAACGCAAATGATATAGTGATGAAGTTGTGAACTCTTTAAAATGCCATCGATATTTTGTATTCCTGTCGTTTCCATTCGAAGATTTTAGTACAAAACGAAAGATTGTTTTTAAAATCTAGACGGAAGCTGCACTATCCCCGACGTTAATATTTTTTAGTTCTCATATATCTGATAATTTCAAAAGTGTGTCGGGCAAATGCATATATTTTCAACCGTGCCTCTGTTCTAATTAGTTAAAACATGGCATGCTATTTTGTATTATTAAACCATCTCTGATATTGTATCTTCTTGTTAAACTTTTTTTCATACATGTTAGTTTTCACTTTTGTTTAGTTGCCAACGATATAACCCCGGTATTCTTTTTCTAATAAAATGGCACAGTCTGGATTTTTTCTCTATGAATCATGTTTTTTTTATTTGCCCTTACATTTTCTTTCACCAACCACGTGCGTTATTTCCTTTAGCTCCCACCGGCCTGTGAAGGTGGCCTAGTCTTTCTTATCAACACCGTCATGAATCCCTGGGTCGCCGATCAGGACAGCGTTCAGTCTTTGGTCAGCTGCTTCCGTCAAGTCGTCAAGACTACGGTAGAAGAGGTAGGAATATTATTTAAACTGTACCTGATAATGTAGTTCAATTGCTGTTTACCTTGTTCTCATTTGAGAACGTGACATCAACAGCTATGATTGACCAAGCTTTATGTTGGATGTCGTCGATGAAACAGAAGACGCTTACCATTCGTGAACAAATGGTATTTTTCTCCTTGTACTTCTTCAGGAATCTCATTGAATGTTTCCCTATATACTACTTGTTGCAACGAATTTGCGTTTTATTTTAAATTCTGTTTAGATAGTTCTTGATGCATTACTGTAATATCATATTATTCATCTTTGTTAATGATATTTACTATTGTTTCAGAATAAAATGATCATGAAACATTTCTTTCCTACCGAGGTTTTGTATTTCTCTCAGCAAAATAGTATTTTGTTGCATTTCTTATTTTATTAAGACATTTTCATCTAAAACATGATGTAAATGAAGCATTGTAAAGTCTATTTCTGAGAAATGATACCTGTTCAAAAGTTAATTCCAGATATCTCTTATTTAAGAATTTACTTTTTAAGAATTATTAAAAACATAAAGATTTGACTACAATTATAAGTGATATTTTATTATGAACAAGGCTAAGAATCAATTTAACTCGGTTCGTTTACAGTGAAATTATTCATTTTCGTGTGGGATTTATCTAATTGATTTCGTAGGCATTCTAAATCAACGAATGTGTGTGTTCACGAAATGATAAATAGATCAAAGTTGACATGGATTTTAGTACCAGTGAATGTTGTGATTAAAATTTGTTCACGAAATCAATTCCAGCGAAAATGCATTGAGTCCTACGATAATCTACGTTATAACAGTATTGACATTTTCAGATAATTATGCATACATTAGCTGTGTGCCGAAATAAGAACGTGTTGTTTTGTGTTAAGATATATATCCTATATCTTCTTTGTTTGTATTCTGGTTTTACAGATGACAGATTCCCCGGAAAGACATATATTTATTGTTGCTAGTCCTTTGAGTAATGATACCGGGGAAATTTTCTGTGATTTTTACCCAAACGAATACAACGAAAAAGAAAGTAACTACCAAGCCGTTATCAAATTTAAAGTGGACAGTAGATTCAAAATGGAGCTTTTCGAACTGATTGAACAGCAAGTCGAATTATCTTTGAATGGAAGTAATGCCAAAGAAATCATATTCCGGAACAATGTGAAGACAACTCTGATAGATATGTTACGTACTGGCCGCCAGAGGGCGATCAGAATGAACGTATTTGTTGGCATGGAATCTGAGACGCCCATCATGACCAACCTACCTGTCACAATATCGGATGTCCCTCTCTACAGGTAAATTGTAACTGTTTGTTTCTTTTAACGAATAATTCACAAAAATATTTTGACAAAGGTAAAGCGGCGACATAATGATATGAAATGAAGAATTTCTGATCGCCCGAGAGGATTATACTTGAAAGTGTGCGGAATGTCAACCTGAGTGTTGATTTGTATGACAAAAATATATATTTGAATTTTGCAGAATGTAGGCATGACTTATACAACGTTTTCCAGTAGATTTCTAACCTACAACACTAGAAACACCAAAAACGTATAGCTGAAATATTGCACTCGTTCTTTTGTCGAAACACACATCTGAAAAGCACTTTTAGTATAAACCGTATTTTATTTCTTAAGAAGTTACCATATGCAATGTCTTAACTGTTATAAATAATGACACAGGGTTCTGAAACAATTTGTTAATTTTTTTTTTTTTTTTTTTTGAGTCTGTTTCCATGAAAGAACCTCAATTTATGTATTTGGTAACCAGATGTCCAGTCTCATAAACACTCATGACACTCTGCACAACTTTTTATGTTACAAATTCAGGTCGAGTTTGAAAAACAATAATTCAAATTAATTGGCGGACTTTATTGGTTTTTCGACAGTTCAAATATTGGAAGCATAAACAATATACTGTACACTGAAGGTGCTAAACGAACTATGCTGTTTTCTATTAAACTATTTATTCGACATCTATGTGTATCTTTTCATGCTTTATTGTTCTCGGAAATATCTAAATGTTAGATTCCTTGAAAACAATTTCTGATTTTGAATTTCATAGCATCACGTAATTTATTTTATCAATTCTTATATCATGTTTTGATATTATATTATGTTTGAATGTTCATGCAGATACTTTGAGAAAGTGACTACTGAGTACCCTTCTTACATGACGTACTTCCTGTTCGGAGATGAAAATGGCGCATACATGACCCATCATATTTCTCTCCGTCCGGATTTTTACCAGGTTTATTTTTGTTTTGTCCTTCTGAGTTCCAGTTACAGACAACAATCCTAAATGTAGTATTTTACTGATGGTACATATCACCTTTTAAAACAACTTTACAACGTTAGATACAATAGAACCAAGCAATGAATTAAACTGCTTCATACAGCAGTTTGGTCCTTATAGGGTTCGTCAGTGATGATAAGGGCCTCGATTTTGAAGTCTAGGAGGCGATTGAGGAAATCCTAAATGACTGAAAGAAAAATAATCAATATAGATGGGGAGGTACACAAGCTTTTTAATATTTCATAACTCCATTTATTTGATAATTTTAGAACAACGTCAAGTGTATATTGTAAATCCTGTCATTCTTCGAATGAATTAAAATGTGGCATGCAGGTTAACGTTCGACTTTAAAAGACGGTTTTATCGTGGTTTGTTATCAGAGTATGTTGCTTCAATTCAATCCTAGAATGCCCATGTTTGCCACAGGTATCATTTGAGTTTTCATTAGATATGTTGATTTGTCGCGTTTCATTATATATTACAATTTCGACACCTTATTTTTGTTGCATGTTTACCTTTATTTATTTGTCTCTGTTTTAATTCCAGTTGGTCCGACTCGACCAGATACCACACAGTATATCACCCTCACTGCTGCAACATGGGATCCAGATACACATTTCCACTATGACAGGAGACCCTCTCGTCCTTGACGGAGATATCGTCGACCCTCTTCAAATGTCGGAATACACAGTACATCTTATTGCAGAGGGAGGGGCTCATATCAGATCTACAATAAAGTTCAGTAGGCGGAACGCCAAAATATTCTTCCTGCCACTTCGAACGCAAACACTTACGGAATCTCGGTGTCTTGAGTTCCGGTCTTCTGTCAATTTTAATGGTAGTATAAATATTGAGGTGCATGATTGTTCCAATGAGGAACCTGTGACACAGGACGTGTTAGAGACCTCTGTATAGAGCTTACATTTTACATTGTAGGTGCGTAAACATCAAAATTTGTGACAACGGAATTCATATAGATTCTTGCTTATTTCATAGGTGCATGAACCTCTCAGTCTAACCATGTGACAGTTGATGGGACATATACCGCTCCAGGAATACAGTGTAGAGGTCAATGAATTTCATATGAAATTGAATGAATTTGGAAGAAGTTTTTCAGTGTAATTCAATGATATATGAACCTTGAATAGGTGCATGAATATCAAAATCAAACATTTTTACGTGAATGTGATCCACTTCTCATCATTGTAGACATCTTAATTAGATATGTGAATATGATTCACAAACGACTTTCAGTATTTTGTCTAAAATAAGTGTTGTGATAATCTTATATAAGTGGCCTTCATGATTCAAATCAATAATTTTGAAACAATTCGTGCGCACACTTTTTGTCCATTTTCTGCATTCAAAAACATTCAGTGTTTAAGTAGGTGAACATACTTCTGAAATTGTCTGTTATTTTCATCAATATACCGAGTACAGTAGTCTCCCTTTGAACTGTACTCGACAGTCAAGTGCGGCTACATCTGTTTCTTTAATAGATCTTTGATCTTTCTCTATGTGTTATTATCCATATCTTACGTCATTCCCGATTCTTAATATAAACATAGTGACCGGCTTTCAGTTTCTGAATTCCTATTTCGTTACTGACTCTAGTGTATTCAGGAACGAATTTGTTATCATTAATGCGTGCATTTTATTATACTAAAACTCTACTGAGTTTATTACAATTGTTTACTGAAAGATTCAGTTAAACAAAAGTTAAAAGGGATAACCATCTAACAAATATGTGCTCAAATTTAATCAGCTTCTGTATACCGGAAAATGTTCGTCCCCGTATAATTTTCACCCTTTTCTTCCATGAACAGGGACGGCGAACATGATATTGGGGCGAAATTAAATTGCACATTTTTAACCCTTTTATATGTAACCCTTTTATATAATTCTCCTAGGGCGAAATGAACATGAGGCGAACTTACCTGGGATGAGATTATTAGCCAAGAGTAACCTATTGAAATCTCTCTTACGCAACTTCTTTTAAAAGTTTAATTTGCTTTTCATTTATATATGTACAGCAAGTATGTACCTGCAGTTTAATATAATTCCGTTTTTATCTAAATATATGTACTTGTATTTTTCAGGACAAGTCTGCGAGAATCAACTGTCAACTAACCTCTAGAGAACCGTTAGAACATAACATTAACACACTTTGGTGTTTAGTTCATAAACAAACTGAAAATGTCACGTCCACGTTCAAACTTTTGCATCATAAGGCATTACATCTCAAAATGAAAATGTCCATCATATTTTTTTTCCATCACCCGCCCAACGAAGTTGGCGGAGATATTCAACTGGGTTCCATGCGTCCGGATGCTGGTTTTAGCATGATACGTTTTGAATGACTGATTGGATTTTGATGAAGCTTGATTGGTACACATGTTACCTTGATCCTTTGCCCAAGTTTGATTAATGGCGAATTCCGTGCTTATTTAATGAGACTGCTGTGCCCTGATTGGCTGATTTCTTTAATCACTCTATGGGAATGTTTTCTACACATTATCTTGTGAAGTAATGACAAGATGTTTTAGGAAACTTGCCTTGTAGAATTATAACCTGAATTTCTTGTTCAGGTTTGATGATCGGCAAATTCTATGCATATTTAGTGAAACTGCTGTGACGTAATTGGCTGATTTCTTAAATCTCTTAAGGATCGCGTTACGCACTTCTTTCAAAGGAATTATCATCTTCTTATGAGTCTTGCTAAGAAGACTTAGTACCTTAACTACACACTGAAGTTAGATTACGATTAATTCCGCAAATATCTAATGAAGCTGCTGTGACCTCAATGACTGATTGCTTTGCAAAGGAAATCTGCCTACGTAATAATAAAATCTAGATGGGACTTGATATATATATATATTACGTATGGAGACTGATTAAACAAGCTGCTTGTACCTGATTGTATGATTGCTTTCGGCAGGATATCTTCTGAAGATATAATAACTTTCATTTTCCAGCATTCAAAACGAAAATAAAGGTGTGATAAGATGATTTCAACATTCACAGTATCATGCTGTTAAATTGTTGTTATATTGATCACTTTCAACAATCGAGCTTTAACCGCCATATAAACAATAAATGGTTTTAAAACTTGTGTTTTCCATGTTGCTCACTATAATGTATTTATTTTACAAATAAACTTGCGGGGAGGGGGATCTTGTTGACTATCCCTTTTTTTCTTATTTTGGAAAGCAAAATAGTTATGAAAATCTTTTACAAAGGAATACCAAAAATAGAATCGAGGTTCCGGTAGATTTAATACATGTATATTGGTGTTGTTATCGGATGTATGGTATGGCCTAGAGAATCTGTTTCCATGATGTCATCATGTCCTAGTGGTGACATATGTAATGTGACGTCACCTAAGAAAGGGATATAGATCAGACTATCGCCAAGTTAGATTATCTTCGTTTCAATAAGTAAGAGATTTATGAAAGTCGTGAAGACTTTTTTCATTTTACTTCTTCAGTGGCGCGGTAAAATAAAAATCATTGATTTATAATCCTTATATGAAATGAAAATTTATATACAGCTACATGTAGGATCCTTAATGAACCTCACCAGTACAATTTGCGACAAAACGAATGTCAAGTTTCATTTAACACTATTTTCTTCATTCGTTATTCAGTTACAGTTGAAAGAGTTTCAACTAATATACTAAAGTTATATTTATATACATTTATAATTTTTGATATATTTATGTGTTTAAATTATTGACAATTGTCTTGAACATTGACTTGGACATACTACAGTGCCAACAAATAGGAGGCAATGAACTGTTTTAAATTAATATTATCGCTATTTCGAGAAAATTAAGCTCTGGAGATAATGAAATAACGAGGTAACGTAGGTCGACTATCTTATAAATTATTATTTTCTCTTGATAATAAAACCGACCATAACTATTGAAACGGGAAAATAGTTGTTATAAGTGTGACAATATTTGTATATATTGTAGGAAACCATTATGCACAGCCATGTGAGGTTTCATTTGAAATGCTAGGCGTAGAATGACAATAATTAAGTAGCTCATGGTGATTTGCAATATTGAAGATTAAGGATTACCGTATAGGCTATTATTTTCGCGGGTGGGGGTAGGAGGGGGGATGGGGGCAGATATTATCGCTATTTCGAGGTACAATAAGTTGATCGCGAAAATTAAGCTCAGGAGATAATGAGATCTGTGCATACAACATGTGCTTTTACACCTTTTACATCTTGAGCGAGAAATTTTAGATTCGTTAAAATATAATTCGATCGTTTGAAACGACAATCGCAAAAAATTTAACCCCTGAAAAGTTACCAGTTATGATGTATTTTAAGAAATACTGGATATTAATGAAATATGGAGTGATTTTCAATTATTGAAATGTTGAAAGCAAAATGGATGCATTTTTCACAGCAATTATATAACACATTATTATTGTTTTTTTCTCTATCAATTTTGATTTGTAATGGTGTTTTCATTTCTGCGATGATAAAAGGTAAAACAAAATACTCCGAAATTTATATCCTTTGCAATAGCTTGTATGTTAGTCGTATTGCAACACAGCCTGCTATAAAAAAGAAACGTAAACATGGAAAAGTATGAGTATAACTCTGAACCAAATAATGATAATAGCGTAAACATTATGATAGAAAACTTAACTAGGAATTATTGTTTTAAATGGAATCTTAACAATGATAGAGTTCAAGATATACAAATGCACAGGACATTCTTTAGAAACTATGCAGGATTGGAATTTGATACATTTGTAGAAATTTGTATAAGTGCACCTCCCCCTACAATGAGCTGACATTTTGTTTGCTTTTGATGTTGCTCATGGAGGATGTACATTCGTTGATCCGGATTGCCCGGTAGCTCCAGTAGCCCCTGTAGGTCCAGTAGCCCCCGTATCTCCGGTTTGTCCTATAGCTCCTCCAGACCCTGAAGATTCAGTAGCCCCTTTAGGTCCAGTAACCCCTGAAACTCCAGCCACTCCCGAACTTCCAGTTGCTCCTGTAGGACCTGTTGGTCCTGTGGGTCCAGTAACTCCAGCTGCTCCGGTAGGTGACAATCCAGTTAACCCTGTTACTCCGGTAACACCAGTGGCTCCCGTTGCGCCTTGAAGACCCGGTGGACCTTCATTAACGTTTGTCGAAGTTAGCACAAGCGCTCCTATAATGAAACAATAACATTTTCAAACGTATTCAAATCATGTCCCAAGATATTGGTTAAGGAAAGCGATCACCGCTTCTATGTTTTTAATGGCACTTTCAATATGATCCATGATAATAATTTGTCCTTTAGTAATGATTTTTCTGACATTTCTGGGATAATCTGGTTAAATCCCCTTTGTCTCAACGCCTGACAGTTTCCTCCAACTTTTTACCGTACAGATCGTGATTGTAGAATATATAAAATTTGAAATATATCTGTTTAACTTTAAATTGTCCGATCTTTTGATTCCAAGGAATAAGAACATATACAACTTTGTTCGAAACATTATATTGATTTGTTTTGTTTTGTTGATTTCTTTGGGGTTTTTTTTATCGGAAATTGGAAAATGGAATTTATCGCCTCAACTACTTAAAATATGCAAATTTGCGAATATTTATATAAAGACTAATACGGACTTCTCGGATAATCCCCCCTCATCCAAGTATCACGATGGATGAGAGGGATTCTCTGTAATGAAGCCCGGAGGCTGGAGAGTTAAATAATATGCACTTGTCAACCTGTTGGGTGCGCGACACTGAAGTTCAAAAATTATCTTATCGATATTGCATTGCACGTGCCTGACCCATGTGAGAGGTCACCATATAAAAAGACATAACCAAGCCTAGACACACGCTTATTTCAAAGAGAAATGTTGGCAGATTGTGTGCAACTATAGGGTGGGAGATCCAAAACTAAACAGCAGAAATAGAAACCCAGAGACTTGGGAGGGTATTTAACTCTCCAGCCTCCGGGCTTCATTACAGAGAATCCCTCTCATCCATCGTGATACTTGGATGAGGGGGGATTCTCTACCATTCACCCCTACGGCTTACTAGTTAAATAATATGCACCTTCAAAGAATCCACCAACATGCCAGATAACCATGAAAAAAAAAACCAAACTGCAACTCAAGTTCACTCATTCATTAGTATTTCAAAATTACACCACATTTCACAAAGTCTATATCATTGACATCTTATCACTGCCCTGTCTGCAGAACACTGGTTGAAAATGAACCCGGGTCATCAATATCTCTTAAGTAGAACCTCCTAAAGCTCTCGGCTGATGCCCAGTTTGCCGTTTCCAGTATGTCCCTCAAGGATGTCCCCGCCGTGTATGCTGCCGACACAGACGCTCCTCTAACTGAATGAGGTTTAAACTGTCGATCAATTCCAGCCGCCATCATCACTTCTCTCATCCATCTTGCCACTGTGGAAGTGGACACTTGCAAACCTCTTCTGAAAGAAACTAAAAGTTTATTACTCTTCCGTATGTTTACTGTCTGTGACACATAATATCTTAAGGTTGAAACTACACATAATCTTTCCTGAGAATATTTGTACAATGTTACTTTATAAAATGGCTTTGATGGCTTGGATGTTTTCATAAGTTCTGGGACTGTAAATACAATATAGTGTCCAAAATTCTGCATATGTTCAAGGTCTAAATTAACCAATGTTTGTGCTCTTTGTGCTGTTGTAAGTGCTATCAAATAAACTAATTTCCTGGTCAATGAATCCACCTCCAGGGCTGTCAAAGGGAACATATCACCCAAATACTTCAGCAAAGGTGCCACATCCCATGTCGATGAATACCTGGGCTTAGGAGGATTAGTGTTGAATACCCCCTTCATAAACCTATAAATTAGGGCATTGTTCATCAATACTGTATGGCCTAGTAATGGCAAAGTCTGGGACAACATACACCTATGTGTATTAATAGCACTGTAAGATTTCCCTACATTAAACAAATGAGTGAGGTAGGAAATCACTTCCTTGATAGTGGGATGATTGGCACCAACCTGTCGTTCACCACACCAAGAGACCCAGTTATTCCATGCCAAGTCATACTGCTTGGACGTGGACTATTTCCAGGAGGAGAAGACAAGTGTGGCAGCCTGTCGTGAAAAGCCCTGCTTCTGGAGAGATCTCCTGACACGCAACATGCGATCAGTCTCAGGCTGTTTCTTAAGGGATGCGGCTCCCCCTGTGGGGACAATAGCAAGTCTCGCCACCTCGGCAGGCGTGCGGGCGCATCCACAACAATATTTAATAGAGTAGGTAGCCACGCTTGACTTCTCCATAAGGGAATGATTACTATTGCCATACTAACTTTATCTTCCTTCACTGATCACTGATCAGACTGAAAGGAGCAAAAATATACGGTAAGTAGTCTGACCATGACATAGAAAAGGCATCATAAAACCAAGCATCTGGATCAGGATACCATGAGACAAACTTGGTAACCTTAAAAGTCAACCTACTTGCAAATAGGTCAACATCTGGATTGAAGAAATGACCACATATTCTGTCAAATATCAGAGGGTGTAATGACCACTCTCCCGAAGACTGCATTGACTGTGATAAGTAATCAGCATCAACATTCAAAACACCCGGTATGTGGCAGGCAGAAATGAAAATATTTCTTTCCGTACACCACAGCCATATCTCTTTTGCTATCATTCAGCTCAAAACCCTTATTAACATATGAAATTGTCAGACATGTCAAAACCCTGACATGAATCAAAAACAAAAACATCGTAATGTCAACCAGACAGCTTTTAATTCCAAAAAAATATGTGATGTTCACGTTCTGCTTTTGACCAAAGACCTTTTGTTATCTGAGAGCCAAACGTTGCTCCCCATCCATCACCAGATGCATCAGTTTCCATAATCACATCTGGATCACTTGGTCTTATCGCCCGACCATTCATACTGTTTACCTTATCTCTCCACCACACTAGGTTTGTGCCAACCTAGACAAACTGACCTTGTCGTCATAAGACAAACCATTATGTAGGGCTGCTGTCTTTTCCTTGTCTACCAATCTGTAAAATAGCCCTGACAGCCGCACTGCTCTAAGAGATGACGTAAACAAGCCAATGAGACTAGCAA